AGCAGTATTCTCCCCTTGAGACTGCCTGTTTTCGAGGATCCCTCTAAAACAACCGAAGAAATTATGCCTATATTGGATAATGCATTCACGATTATTTATTTAGAATTCATGTCGTATACATTAGGTTTACTGACTATGTTCAATTTATTGTTTCAATCAGAAAAACCATTGCTAAATAAAATGAAATCTTCAGTCGAAGATCTATTATAAACTGTGTAGTAATTGTACAAAACTTTCATAAGTAAAGTCTTGCTATCATAATATAATGAAAATTCAGTATCGTGATCAATCCAAACAATATAAGACATTGGACTTGGCACATTGGTGTTTTAGCTACTAAAAGCTTAGAAAACTTAAAAAAAGGTCTCGCAGGTTCCTGAAACTGATATCAATGTATTTTGAAAATTTACCGCAGCTTTTACGTGGAGTTGGCTAAACAAATCGTACAGCGCTTTGACTTAAAAGACAGCTTGTTTAATTTTATGGACTTGATTAATCCATCTGTTGCTCAAAACTTCTTTGAATCTTTGAAGTATGTATTTGTAATGATTTTCAGTGTTGTAAGATTATTTTTATCTGCAAACCAAAAAGCTGACTAGAACACGCATACTTATATACATACATGCATAAAAACTTCGTCTTGCATCCTTCAGATGACGCTAAAGAATATTGGCGTAAGGTTTTCATTTAAAAAATGCCCTCGGTCAAAATTTGTTTCCAAATTTAAACGGCATTGTAAACACTTTATTATTGTTGCCGTTTTCCAATGCCAAAAAGAGTGCGTGCTAAGTTCACTAAAACGTACTAAGACTAATCACAGAAACAAACAGAAAACCGACACAATAGTTGCCATAATGCATATAAGAGATGCCATAAAAGATTGTGTAAAATTTGACTCAATAAAATATGGTAAAGGCCAATTTGTACAAAAAATAAGACGCTTTATCAACGGTCCATCTTGACGTCCGTCTCCTCAAGGTACTCGATGCAAAACTACAATGAATAGGCTTGAAGTACGTCAAGGGATGTACGTCAAGCCTATATTGATCGTGTATATGACGCTTTAGTTTAATAAAACTTTCAATGATTAATCATTTTTTTTCTTTTTTTTTAAAACAAAAAACAAAACAAAAACACTCACGCCTGTCACCCAGAGGGGTAGGCAGAGATTATGTACTTCCATTTGGCACGATCCTGACACACTTCTCTCGCTTCCTCCACATCCATATACCTACGCATACACGCTCGTCGGTTAAAGGTACTCTTGATTTGGCCCATTTTTAATATATCGCCAATTTGGTCGATAAACTTTCGCCTAGGGCGACCCTTCCCGACTATGCCGTTCACCTCTGCAACATAAATTTGCTTTGTCACTCTTTCCTCATTCATTCTTTCTACATGGCCAAACTACCGAAGCATTCCTTTCTTAATCCTGGTCACAACATCATCTTGCAAACCACACTCTTCTCTTATTAAACAATTTCACACTTTGTCATTCAGATTCATCCCTAACATACTCCTTAATGACCGCATTTCTACAGCACTTATTATACTCTCATGCTTCTTCTGCCACACCCACACTTTCACTACCATACATTAAAGTAGGTACTAACACAGCATTGTGAATTGCCATACGTGCCTTTTCGGACACATTCTGACTTTTCACAATAGAGTGTAGAGCCCCATTCAATCTATTTCCTGCATTCACTCGTCGTTCTATATCCTTATCATATCTACCATCCCTGCTAAACACACATCCCAAATATACAAACTCATCTACTTGCACTACCAACTCCTCTTCTATTCTTATTTCACATATCGTTTTACTTTCTTCTCTTTCAAAAACCATAACTTTCGTCTTACTTGCGTTCACTTTCATTCCCTTTTCTTTTAATGTCCTGTTCATTAATGTAATCATCATTTGCAACTCGGCTGCCGAAGATGCAAGTATGACTTGATCATCGGCGTACAAAAGGCATTTGGCGGTTAACTCACCCATTCTTAATCCGCATTCTTCTACTTTCAAATTTTCCAAAAAACTGTCCATAAATAGGTTGAACAACCACGGGGAAGCCACACAGCCCTGTCTGACACCTTTATGGATACCAAACCAGTCCGAGTAGGCCCCGTTGATCCTGACACAAGCACTAGAGTCCCTATATAGAGACTTCAATGCCTGTATCAGACCAGCGGTCAACCCAAATGAGTTCAGTGTTTGCCATAACATATCCCTGTCCACTCTGTCATAAGCCTTCTCCAAGTCTATGAACGCACAAAAAACTTTTTGGTTTTGGGCCAAAAACTTCTCCGCGATCATGCGCATGGGAAAGACCTGATCCGTACATCCCATTCCCTTTCTAAATCCCGCTTGCACATCCCAAATTTTTCCATCAGTTTCTTTCATAACTCTTTCAATTAGCATTGTGGGAAAACTGTATGCTAAGGTTAGCATACAGTTTTCCCACAATGCTAAGAAGGCTGATACCACGGTAGTTTTTACAGTCCTGCTGTGATCCTTTTCCTTTATATATTGGGACTATCACGGCTTTGCACCAGTCTCCCGGTACCCGCTTAAGTTCCCAACATAAATTAAACAAGATGTACAGCAGGTCTGCCACCACTCCTTCTCCAGCCCTTAGCATTTCGAGAAATACTCTATCATAACCGGTTGCCTTACCTGCTTTCATACTTTTCATTGCTTTCATTATTTCATCTATACTTATATCTCTATCTATTTCCTCTTCTTTCGGAATTTCTATTTCATTTAATTCAAACGTCTCATCACTCATAAACACGCTTTCAAAGTATTCCTTCCATCTCCTTAAACTCAAAACTTCGTAATTCAGAATAAAGCCATTCTGGTCTCGTATATCATTCATTCTAGGCTGTTTTGAATGTCCCCTGGTAGTTCTTACGAGTTTCCAGAACATTTTAATGTTTGCCTGGAAGTTATCCGATATCCTTCTATCATTCCTATCCGTTATTTCTTGCTTTTTCCTTTCAACTACTTCTTTTACTCTCTTATTTAGGTGTCTAAATACTGCCTTTTTCTTTTCAATATCATCATTCATACTGCTAGAATTACTAGACTTGGTTGCTAGTAAATCTAGCCATGCTTTCTTCTTTGCTTCAACTTCCATCCGTACCTCATCATCCCACCATAACGTGTTATTTTTCCTTTCATTCGTTCTCTTACTTAAACCACATACTTCGGTAGCTGCATCCACTAAACCTTTCTTGACACTATACCACACAGTCTCCAAGTCTAAATCATTCATACACAATTCAGCCATACCACTTGTATTTTCTCTCAATCTACATTTGAACTTCTCTTTCACACCTTCATCTTGTAACCTCTCTGTTCTTATACGCTGTAACGCAGTGGTAGACACAGATTTCCGATGCCTCCAACGTCTGAAAAGACCATTAATTCGGCATAAGACCAAGTAATGATCCGTCCCTACGTTAGAGCCCCGGTAAACCCTTGTATCTACCACCGCGCTCCTCATTCTTCCATTAACAATTATGAAATCTATCATACTTCTATCATCACCTCTTTCCCATGTATACGTGTGAATCTTCTTATGACGAAAGAAAGTGTTCGTCACAACAAGACTCTTTTCCACGCATACGGCGAGAAGGCTTTCACCGTTCTCATTTATACTTTCATCACCAAACGTTCCCAATATCCTTTCATAACCAAGCCTCCTCACCCCAACCCTTCCATTAAAATCGCCTAATATCACAATATTTTCATTAACCTTGCATTTCATTAGCACCATCCTTACCAACTCCCAAAACTGCTCTCGGATATAAGTGGGCTTAGACATGTCTGGGGCGTAGACCCCTAAAACAAACAACTTCTTTAAGCCCACTTTCATTCGTATCCATAGCAGTCTCGGGCTTACACATTCATACTCTTTCACACAATGACCCATTCTTTCTGAAAGGATGATACCGACTCCCTGGCATGCCCGCTCGGTCTCGTCTACACCAGACCAGTACGCGGTATACATGCCATGTGTAGTGGCATCCTTTCCCTTCCGTTTCGTCTCATTTACACATAACACGTCTATTCCTCTATCATACATCATATCGCATACTTCATCCATCTTATCATTCATTCCTCCACATACATTCAATGTAGCCAGACGGGCTTCCGCAATCCACTTTTCGCCCCTCCGGGGGACAGAACGTGACGGGTGGCGAACCTCGTCGTCGGTTTTCCTCCCGGAGATTCTTCGCACCCCTGCCCCATTAAAGGGGCGCAGGGAACTCGGGGCCATTTCGTTAATTTTTTGCCTCATGGTGCGAAAGTAAAGTAGTTGTGGTATTTTTTACGCCGCTACCACACGGCGAGGAGCCGAGTCTGTTCTTTCGGCTTTGTCGCTCGTTTAGCACCACCCGGGGGACACGTGTAGGGTGGGCCTAGGATTAGGTGGTCCAAGCCTACGGACGCGAGCGACTCATCCCCCACGGACCCCCTTTTTTATCTGTGAAAATAAACTCCTGGATGAAATTCACTACAAAAAGGGGAATTTATAACTTTACCCGGAGAATTACCGGCAGTTTTGCCTGTGGCAACGCTAGTGTCCGTGTTTAATTTTCAGTTTGTCTTTCTGTTTGTGTTTGTGGTGCTTCATAGTCAGGTAACGTGTATGCATAGAGATATATACCTATTCTAAGTCAGTGCGTGTATGGTGTATTCTGTAATAGAATCTTTCCTGTTCAGGACAGTTACGCCCTATATATAATGTACTCTGTGACAGTTCCTATACTCTTTGGTCTGTGTCATTGAGTGTCAACTGTTAGGCTCAGAAGGGCTAGAACCCAGAGCCGTAAAGCCAGTTAAAAAAAGTGTCAACTGTCAAATTATATATTGCAAAAAAAAAATACAAATATTATTGTGCTGCTGATCAGATTCAGATTTCAGACATCACTTATCGTTGGTTATCGTTAATTAAATATGATCGTTAATTTGATTTAGCTTTAAATCTAAAATGGAAACTACACCCTTACTGACGAGATCAAAAAAGACATCCATCTGGTCAAGGTACAATTAAGCTTTCTGATTTTTTTACTAAGATTTTCTTTGTTCTAATAAGCTGATTTGTTTTTGTATTTATTTCAGATTTAATTTGTTTAGATTTCGTAAGAAGGAATTAAGCTCTAGAGTTATATATATAGGACAATTACCTGAAGATGACTTTCCACCAAACCATATCTGTAACCAGGTAAAGATTTTATAATTTTACTAACTTTCATCATGTTAATGCAATCTATGCATTTTATAAAAATATACTTTAATAAGAACTGGAAATAATTATTAACAGTGTAAATATATAATCCTTACCCAAGCACACCTAAGCCAAAGCAAGATTTGCACCAAAATAAACAGGAATTACTGTAGTATTTATTTGGTACAGCCATATCCAATTTTAGGAGCTGACCTCATAAGGGTCCTTACGGGTTACCATAATTAAAGATTGAATAACTTTTATGAAATATTTATTTATAGCGGAACATGCAATACAGTTGGTGGGCAACTAGCTACTGACTGAGAATCTTATTTTATTTAATTAGATTACCAACGATTGTTACACCAGTAAAGATCTTAATTGCTAAAGCTTAGTATCTAGGATATAATGCACAATCACTTATAGGCAAGACAAAAAAAACTAAAAGTATCTTAGTGCTAAGTACATAGGTACAACATTACTAGGTATTATATGCAGCACACCTACATGATCATGAAGGTAAAGACCTCAAGCTTTAAACAGATTTTGTAACTTTATTAAATATTTTAAATACACAATACTCTTTACACCTTAAATTTTAAGTACAATTGCTTACTATATAACATTACTTGAATTGAGTTTTATTCAGAGTTAGTTTATTTAATTTATGATATGTAAAAATTTGCTGATTATACAATTATATATTTACTGAAACCTCTGTTCTTTTGTTACAGAAATATAGTTTCATTACATTCCTACCATTAGTATTGTATGAACAATTTCGATTCTTCTTAAATTTGTATTTTCTTGTGATGGCTGTTAGTCAGTTCATCCCTAGCATCCGCATTGGATATTTATATACATACTGGGGTCCGCTATGTTTTGTGCTTGCAGTGACATTGTTTAGGGAGGCTGTTGATGATTTTCGACGATACAGGTACTTTCAAACTATGCTTAAATAAATATTTGTTTCCACAATTGTTGACTAAATAGATCAATGTAACACTTATTATATCTTAATTATAAGAGCTGTGATATAACTTGGCATTTCGAAGAAGCTTAACCTAAATAAGAAATATCCTATCACACATTTATTTGTAGTAAATTATCACAGAATGAAATTTCCTTATCTGAATTTTTATCACGAAGTAAATTTGCATTCGAATTTACCCGACTGCCCTAGGAGGGTAATTTTTAAGTTAGTACTATTAATATTATTAACAAAATAGAACCACCTTTGAACAGGCATGTTATTATTTATTCTTGCAGAAGAGATAAAGAAGTAAATAGACAGTTGTATGAGCGTATAGTTTTAGATACACCTACTGATGGCTACCGTCCATTCTATACAGAACATGTGCCTGCTTCAGCTCTTAGAGTTGGTGATATTGTTATGCTTCATAAAGGTCAGAGGGTTCCAGCAGATATGATACTACTGAGAACAAATGAGACAATGGGCACTGTGTTTATACGTACAGATCAGCTAGATGGAGAGATTGATTGGAAATTGAGGTAAGACATTGGATAATACAATACAATTCTTATGTTTTTTATAATTTTGAAATAAAATAAAGCTGAAGTTTCTGCACTTTTTCAACAACTGCCGATTCTCAAAAGCAAGTAAACTTATTTTATATTCTTATAATAGCCTGAAAACTCATTATTAATGTAGTTTAAAGCATGAAGAATGTCAATAAACGTTTATTCAGGAACTGTTTTGTTCAATAGTTCAATAGATACTAAGTTGTAAGTAAAAACAGAATTTATATTATAATAAACAATTTACTGATAAAATTGTTTATTATTTAACTTCCTTGGTTTTGTAAGCAACTTATCTACAGGTTGTTTATAAACACTGACTTGTTATTTAAACATGTGTTATTATTTTTTAAACCCAACCATTACAAATTACATTGGTACTCATCAGCCCACAAAATAATGCTGCTGGAAATAGATACCTACCATTGTAGGAATTTTTGCATGAATCATCATGCTTCACAGTCTAATTGATAGTGTAGTTGTCAAAACTTAATTTGCTTAATTCCACATAAAGAAATAAAATGATGTATCATGTCAAGTTTGAAGAACACCTTCCACCCTCCCTCAATTGCGTGCACTATCCCCGTCACCACCAATCCCAAATTAAGTTATAACAACTTCATTATAATAATGCATTTCCTCAAAGTAATGCCTAATTCCATTAATTGTCTAATCATTCATCGCAGTACAAGACATCTCACGTCTTTAACACAAGTCATTGTGGGTGTAGGTATTAAAAGCCTGGTGGAAAGTACTTGGTGATACTCTTGAATCGAAATAGACATGCATCCTTTTACACCACCACTTCACTGTTAAGATAGTGGCTTACAGTTAGGAATTGACATTTTTTTTATATTCTACTAAGCTAGTGCTTATCTACAATCCCACCTGATGGTAAGTGGTGATGTAGCCTAAGATGGTGAAGTGCACTGACTTAACAAAACCCTATTCACTCTTGCCTTGAAGACACCCACACCGTAATCGGATGGAAAGACAGATGCTGACAACTTATTCCACTCCTTTGCTATATTCATGATGAACAACGTAGCGAACCGTTTAGTTTGAATGCGTGGTAAGTCAACAACGAAGGAGTGGAGACTGGCCGTACATCTGGTTGTCCGATGGTGGAAGGGAGAGGGGGAATTAAATTATGCAATTCCTGTGCACTTTTATTTATATTGGTTAGAAAAATACCTGGAAATAATTAACAAAGAAAATGATAAATGACTGTATAAAGTGTTGACATTTCGTTATAAATTAAAATTATGAGGTTAAAAATTTGTTGAGGTTATGTTGACATCTGATCGGAGAATTTATACACTGTAGGCTCACACCTAGAAAGAAAGAAAGAAAGAAGAAAGAAAATAAACTTTATTGACACAGCAGTGCATGCACATATACAAATGGTTAACATTAAATTATATATTATACACTAATACTGTGCCAAAACAGGCTTCCGCTCAGCATTTGTCATGACATGCTCGCAAGGAGCATGTCAAGACGCTGGTCTTCCGCGGACACCTATTGTTGGCATTGTACATCCTTTCGAGAATACACTAACTTAAAATGTAGTAATTATTATATGAATGTATTTATGTGACTTGGGTGTCTCTCGAAAGGGTGCACAATACGGGGACGCTTTAATGATTGTAATCATGGTTGTCAAAAAAAAAACAATGTTAAAAACACACCTACACGTTTAAACACAGATACATATGTTGAATGTGTACTTGGCACAACACACTATAGTGTCTCTGAATTATTTTCTTGTCATCAAAGAATTAGTCAAGCCATAGGATTGAAAATTTTTATTAGTGTGATCAGTATAATATTCATCCAATAACCGTGATGAGAGACTGAAAGCATTAATTGTGCGTAGCTTCCACTTTTTGACTAATGTTTTTTTTTTTTTCAGAATTCCTCTACCATCGACCCAAAAACTGCCAACTGATGCTCACCTTCTTGATATAAATGCGCAAATTTTTGTTGAGAAACCAGAAAAGGACATTCATTCTTTCATTGGCACTTGTACTCGTTTGGATGAGGAGGAAAGTGATTCTCTTGACATTGAAAATACACTATGGAGTGGAAGCGTTGTTGCATCAGGACAAGCTACTGGCTTGATCATTTATACCGGTAGGTGTACTTTTATGTTTAACTAGCTGTCCAGCCCAGCTCTGCCTGGATTTGGGATTGTAGTATTATTTGGATTTAAATACTCATTAATGAATTGATAATATAATGTATAAATATTATCAATTTCTGAATTTGCCAAAATAATATTTTTTGGACAAAGAATAACTAGATCACTCCATGCATTGCTCTCTATCTGTTCGTCAAGTTTCACTACAATTGGTTCAGCCATTCCGCCCCGACAGACAGACAGAGACTGACAAATATATATTTTTTTTAATTTGAAGAATTAATAAGTAGAACCAGCGTTAGGTTTACCATATAGCAAACATCCAGTACATCCATACTGTGTTACGATTTGCTGATTAGTTTTTAAATTTTGACTTAATGGCATCATTATAATTTTTTATTTATTATTTAAATATTTGTATGCTGCCAATCACGGAATGTGATTACAATCTATATGGAATTACTATATATTTAGTATTTCTTTAGCTGGTCTCACTTATAAATTTTTTGAGAGAATTAATATAAAGGCTGAAAATTTATCTTACATCATGTTATTGTTCTCTTAGGCAGCGAAACTCGCAGTGTTATGAATAACGCAGTACCTCGATCGAAAGTAGGTCGCTTAGATCTACAAGTCAATGATCTCACCAAAGTACTCTTTGCGGCAACACTTCTCATCTCCTTCCTTATGATCGTCCTCAAAGGGTTTGATGGACCTTGGTATGGGTTCCTCTTCAGATTTATCCTGTTGTTCTCATATATTATACCAATCAGGTGAGTGAGTGACATTTTTATTGTTTAATTGCAACTTACTCCTTTTTGAATATAATAATTACAGTTAGGATAACACTAGTATATCTAGAGCCAATAATAGGGACTAACTACAACAAAATGGTAGAATTGTATGATTAATAAATTTTTATTGGCTAAATACTCAAATGCTACTCAATTTTAAGAAATCTTTAAGTCTTGTGGTGTCGCAGTCATTTTGACTTAAAGTGATAGAGACAGCACGGGACTTAACGGCGTCTAAAAATTGAGTAGCATTTGATTATTTGGCCAATAGTCACATACTTTGAAAATGTTACTTTGAGTGACGTTTCAAAACTTGTTTGTTTTGAGTTTTAAGTTATATTACACTTTTAGTATTTAAAATAACAAATTAATTACTGCTGCCATGTATTATGCCATATATTCTGTAGGAGTATCGTTTTGTATACCCTAATACTTTTCTTTTATAGGATAGGGTGACAAACGAGCACACAGTCCACCTGATGGTAAGTGCTTGCTGTGGCCCATAAACATCTACATTTATCCTAGTCTGCGAATCAAAACGCAGATGCGTTGTCACCCGTGAGGACTAAGATGGAATGCCTCTTTTCCAGTAAAAAGGGTCTCCGATTCTCTACTCTCACCATACGAAACACAGCAGTGTTAAGCTGCTATTTGACGCTGGTATTCTGTGAGAGCGTGGTCCTTCCCCGGTCGAGCCGACCCATTCGTGCTACAACTATACTACTAATAGCTGCAGCATGGCTTTACCACGTACGAATACATGAAATTGGCTTCTATTCTTTATTCCCACAATCCAAGTTTTAAATAGTATTATTTTATTAACAAAGCCTCTAATATCGATTAAAGATTGATATCACCTATAATAATAGAAATATCTTGTCTGAGAAATGTTCAAAAGATATATATGTTAATGTAAGTTTAACATTTTTATGATCAACAGTTTAAGGGTTAACCTCGACATGGGTAAAGCATTTTATTCCTGGACTATACAACGCGATAAACGTATAGAGGGTACAGTGATGCGTTCCACTACGATACCCGAAGAACTTGGCAGAATACAATACTTGCTAGCTGACAAAACTGGCACTTTAACAAAGAATGAGATGGTGTTTCAAAAGCTGCATCTTGGAAACGCTCTGTTCGACAGTAATAATTTTCATGAGGTACAGACAATTTCCTATTTTGATCTATGGTTTCTTAAAGAACCATGCCCACTTTTCATACATTTAGAAACCTGAGAGTAAAAGTTTATGTATAGTTATAGTTATAAGTTACAGTAGAAAAACTTCCTGTAAGTTTAGAAAATAATGTCATGTAGTCATTTTTACGATTTAAACCCTACGAAGCCCAAAAATATTAATGTAACTCTTTACGCCGTAACCAAATACTTAATTTTTCTATTTCTTATTAATGTTCTATCACCACTTCCTCTGAGATTATACTGAGAAAAAATCCATGAAAAACGCATAAAATGGCACAATACACAGCGAGACGCAAATACAACAAGTGATTATATTCTCTTTGGCAACAATGAAGGACTGCGCCGATGCCAATTGTAGAACTGTCAAATGTCAAAAAAATCCGTTTCACTCGTGTGCACTCAATGACATACTGCAAGATTAATTTATTTAATTATTATATTATTTTTAAATCATCTGTACTATACAAAGAGTAATAAAGAAATATATATAAAAAATAATATATATAAGAATATTAACAAATACTTTCTGATTAAATAAAAATAATGTTTAAAACTCAGAAACAGAGTTCAATTAAGTCAAGTACCTAGCAGTATGTGAAATGGAATGTCCTAGAAAAAGGGTAGTTAAGGTGCATTCAAAATATGGTGGTAATAAGTTAGACCCTTGAGGTAGAATTAGCATAAATAAATATTAAAAATATTTTTCTCCTGCGTTTCTTTTAACATTGTGATACGCGTATTTAATTTAGAATTCAATTAGCTGAATTTTAAGATTTATTTCATTTCTATACATAGTCAGGTGAAAAATTGGGCATACTTCTTTAAAGAATGTGTTAATATCAATTGTAAATGGTTGAAATTTTGTTGATATGTTATGATTGAGTTCGAGAATACAACATTTTCCTTATCTCGTAAATGACTAAAAGTCGGCTGAGCGAAGTGCCAGTAAAATCGTATGGCCTCCGTTCGACCGTGAATATTCTTGTGTATACATTTTGTGAAACGCAAGAGTGTAACACATATACCAACTTCTCAAATACCAACCACACCTATGTTCAGTATATTCTGCTAACAAATGAGACGCTATTTACATACAAATGGATCTAACATTCGAAAATGCAGAACCCATTTATATTAAGTTGATTGAGAGGAGCAGCATAATCAGTGCGAGGGTATTGGCTGCACTTATCAATCCACTCTTAACCTAAATAAGAAAGATAGATTTATTATTATCATTTAGTAACATTATGTACAAAGTTAAAAGATTGCAACATTTATTGAACAAGATAATTTTTTATTACTGCAAGAAAAACACATTTAGGTACAAGTGACACATTGCCAAATATTTTAATGACACTTTAATAGATGTTTTCAGTTTTTGATTGTTAAATTTAATTATGTAATGTATTCACATTCGGATAAACAATTTTATCAACAATAAAATCAGAGAAACATTAGCATGGCCGTCATTTGAATTCAATTTTACTTAGTAACTCATATGAGTGTATCACTATAACAGTAATTCACCATTCTAGATATTATATTTTTCGAAAACTGCATTTAAAATTAGTTAAATAAGTACCGTATGTATTGTCTACCAGACTCAGTGAAGTGCGATAGCACAAGATCCGCCCGCCCCTGCCCCGCAGTACCCCCACCATTGTTCTGCACAAGTACGTTTGTTTCCTAATATAAAGGTCTTTAAATTCTGCTATAGGCATCTTTATAGGCTATTCTTTTATAGGTTTCGAGGTTTTTCTGGCCTTTCCTATAATAGAAGTGACTACTTTTATGGCGCCTTCGGGATGGATATTGGGTAATATGGTGACAGTGTCCACAGGGCACCAAAAACATTGAAAGTTATTTTTAACACTTTTTAACTCGTTGTTTTTCTTTTATGTATGAACATAAATTCAGGTGGAGGCGTTCCTAACACAATACGTGACGAACGACGCACCGTCTCTACCTACATCTCCAAGCAGTCAGCCAGGCGAAGCTTTAGCTCCGACTCCTCGCCAAATATGGGATGTTGTGTTGGCTTTAGCGCTCTGCCATAATGTGACGCCAGTGTATGACATTGGAGAACAACGGGCGGATGAGGCACAGTCGGGTAAGAACGAAGTAATCGTTCTTTTTTACACTTACAAAAGCAAATGTTCATATTGTTAATGTTTTATTGCATTCTAAATAATTTTCCGAATTCTGTGACAAAATGACAAAAATAAATCAAAAAAATTCTAAAACTGATACGTAATATTTAATTGAGATTAAGTACCGAGGTAAAGTGTGATGGCTAAATTATTAATATAAACAAACTTGAATTTATAGGGATTAAAGTAATAAAAATTAACTTACCCAACTACTTGAACCCTAAGCTAAACACACTTAAGACACTTAAACGCTATTCGTATCATTATCACGCGCATAGTATTCGAATTTTTTTTTATTTACTTTAAAAAATGTTACCCACACTAGGAGTTTCTCCTGTATTGTAGAGACAGTTTACATACATAAAATTCACAAGGAAAATCACTTGTTCTAAAGCATTTCCAAAGCATTGGAATTATGGATATTATAAAATTAATTGAAATTGAAACAAATGTTTGTTTTCCTGCGACAGACATGGACAGCTCGATGATGTCGGAGAGCTGCGGCGGCGCGGTGCCGCAGCAGCAGCTGTGCGACTACCAGGCCTCCAGCCCCGACGAGGTGGCGCTCGTCAAGTGGACCGACATGGTGAGCCACATTACTAACATTCAAACCTTGCATATTAGCAAACTAGGCCTTCTTAATCCTTCACTGTCTGGCTGTATGAGGAAGCTCAAGGTTGCTCAGCGAGCTATCGAGAGGGCTCTGTCTTTCTCTGCGTTTTTTGCTTTGTAATGATGATATACGCAGTAGGACCGGAATAACCAACATAGCCTAATAGATCAATAAACTGAAGCGGCAATGGGCCGGCCATATAGCTCAAAGAACAGAGAACATCAGATGGGGAAGAAATATTCTCGAGTGGCAGCCTCGTACCGGTAAGGAAAGTGTAAGTCAACGCCCCACTAAACGGAGTGACGATCTGGTAAGAGATGCAGGAAGTCTATGGAAGTCGGTAACTCAGGACCATGCTTTGTGGCATTCTTTGAAAGACGCCTGTGTTCAGCAGTGGAATCGTGATGAGCTGTAATTGGACGTAGTTATGCAAAAAGGATCCAACCCGCGATAAATTAATTTGAGTTTATGATATTTGAAGTATCCATACTTCAAATATCATAAACTCAAATTATCGGTATGGTTTCTGTCTGTTTGTAATTTTTCTTCTTATTTGTGTTACGTTTGCTAAAATTGTTACATCACAATAGTAGTAATAGTATAGACCACAAACATTATTTTTCAAGTCAACATTTTTGACGCAAACTCGGGTTGGATCGTTTTTGCATAACCACGTCCAATTATTGTTATGATAATATGGTAATATAGTATAAATATAAAGTATCTATAAATAAAAACCAAGAAAATATTTTGAATTTATTGCAGATGGGGATATCACTGTACAAAAGAGATTTGCACAACATATCACTGAAACTTCGTGCGGCTAATGAGATTATGCAATTTACAATTCTACAAGTTTTCCCTTTCACTAGCGAAAGTAAAATGATGGGAATTATAGTACAGGTAAGTTAATTCACTTAAAGATAGTAAATTCTAATTGATGTAGCATTTTCATTTAATACACGTTTAAGATTTTTTTAATATAAAATTCCTAGTAAGCCCAGACTAATGCTAATGTCATGATGAGGTAAAGTTGTTATTTTTACCTCTTTTTAACCGACTTCAAAAGGAGGAGGCTTACAATTCGTCGGAATCTTTGTTTTTTTATGTATGTTCACCGATTACTCAAAGACGTCTGAACCGATTTGGAAAATGAAAAAGGCATTCCATCTCAGTCCTCAGGGGTGACAACGCATCTGCATTTTGATTCTTGAACGAGGATAAATGTAGATGTCTATGGGCCACAGCATCCACTTACCATCAGGGGGACTATGTGCTCGTTTGTACCCTTATTCTATAAAGTCTATGATTTTAAACTCTATAATATTAATTATGAAATATTTAAGTTTGTATTAATTGGTGAAAAAAAATTCAAAAAATTCCTTTACTGACTTTGTATCAGCACTGCGTCTTATTGTAAAATCAGAATATATTTAAAAATATATTTGGAGAAAAGCTAGCTCATTATCAGCGACCACTGATCAAGTGGCTTGATATGCATAAGATAAGGACAAAGCACAGATTAACTAGTAAAATAATAAATTATGTACAAACTTTCTAAATATTTTAGGAAGAAAACACTGGCGCCATAACCTATTACGTAAAAGGAGCTGATGTGGCTTTGTCTAAACTCTTGGACTCTTCGTGGCTCAGTAGCGAGTGCAGCAAACTGGCAGCTGATGGGCTTAGGACATTGGTCGTCGCCAAAAAGACTTTGTCTAAAAATGAATATTTGGAATTTGAGGTACTGAATTGTTTTCTATTTGATTGCATTAAGTATGGAATTTTGAATATAACAACATTTTTACAATAGTTATAATTTTTCTGTGTATAAATGTACATATACAAATAATACATAGGTTTACATATGCGAATATATGTCTGTGTCCTGCTCGGAGGACCAATAAAGAACCGTTTATCACATTTTTTATACGTGATTGCCAATCGTGGCAGCTATGGCAAATCTCCATTTAATGAGACAATTTATGCGCGAGGCCTATGTTTAGCCACAGTTTAAAGACCTTACAGTTGTGAAACGCTTTTGATGTCAAGCGATGCCGCCGCACGTGTATTTACGCGGCCAGCGTGTATGCTAGGGTTTGTCACGACAAGCAGACAAGTTTTTTGAATAACGGGTGGGCCAGAAAGGAGTACGATTTTAAAAACACTCTTGCGTTTGAAGCTTTAAAGAGGGGACTGCGGGGGTGGTGGGGTTAAGTAGGTCGGTTCTCGGAAATTTAGTCGCGATGGATCACTTCACGGGAGCGCAACGTGCATTCTGCGTTAAACATTATTATAAAAATCACGATTCGTGCGCTATTGTTCGGCGTTTATTTCGACGTGAGTTTGGATTACATGACCTAAATCAGTGTCCGAAGGAAAGCGTGATTCGATCGTGGGTCAGAAAGTTCGAAGCTACTGGTTCGACTCCCAAACAGAAGCCTGCGGGACGCCCAAGGTCAACAAGAACGGAAGACACAATTGAACAAGTTGGAGCTTCAGTTCAACGTAATCCTGCTCTATCGACTCGAAAGCGTTCAGCCGAACTTGTGGTGTCCAGAACATCTTTGCGTCGCATTTTGTTGAAAGATCTGAAATTGCATCCGTATAAAATTCAACTTGTGCAAGAATTACAGCCAAATGATCCAATTTTAAGGAGAGCTTTTGTTGAAACGATGCTGGAACGCTTTCGGAGTTTCAACAATATTCTGTTCTCCGACGAAGCCCATTTTCACATAACTGGGCAGGTGAATAAACAGAATTGCCGTTACTGGGCTGCAGAGAACCCATGTGCAAAACATCAAAAGCCTCTACATTCGCCGAAAGTAACCGTTTGGGCGGCCATGTCAGCGCACGGAATTATCGGACCCCACTTCTTCGAAAATCGACAAGGCCGATCTGTCACTGTAAATTCTGACCGATACATAGCCATGTTAAGGGATTTTTTCTTTCCACAACTACAACAATTTGAAGCCTATAATCGTGCGACATGGTTTCAACAAGATGGACAGCTAATGCCTCTTTGGCGTAAACGAGATGTTTGGTGAGAAACTGATATCGCGCTGAGGTGACATTGAATGGCCTCCTAGAAGTCCGGATCTCACACCACTGGACTTTTTTTTGTAAAAAGTAGAGTCTACTCCAATAACCCAGCCACAATTGACCAGTTGAAGACCAATATCCGGAAAGAAATGGCAGATATTCCCCGTGCAATGTGCCAGCGAGTTTTTACCAATTTGAGGTTCAGATTCGAAGAATGTTTGCAGCGCGATGGTGCACATCTGGATGATGTTATTTTTAAGAAATGAATTTCCCAGATGTAAATTTTTGTAGAAATAAAAATTTGTATGTGAATTGTACTTAGTTTTTTTTAATGATTTTTTCAAATTCGCAATTCTTTCTGGCCCACCCTGTATTATAATACTCATTATATTTTTTGCACTGCCAAATATTTGCACGACACTTTTTTTATAGATATTTTCAGTTTTCGATTATTAAATTTAATTATAGTGTATTCGCATTTGGATAAACAATTTTATCAATAAAAATGAGAGAAACACAAACATGGACTTTTAATGTACTGTTACGGTATGGTACGGTACCGAATATTAAGTGTTGAAATAGAAACTTTGTTTTTCATTATAGATTATAAGTAGTACTTATGAAAAGTCACTCTTATGTTTAATTTACCACAGGTTCGAAAAATCTTTCTGTTCTGGGAAGAATCAGCAAGAATCCCAGCAGCACTTAAAAAAAAAAGACCAATTTACAATCACTTATATCACACAATTTATAACACATAATAATTAAGAAGAGAACATTGGCCACCGGCGGACAGAAGGGGAGAAGCCATAACGTTTTTACCCGGCAGTACACACAATACAGTTTTACACTACTGTCTGTTATTTTTGCGGAAAGAAATCTATGCACACAAAAACAATCGTCTCTCATTACGAAACTCACACATAATTTTTTTTTATAGAATAAGGATGACAAACGGGCACACAGTCCACCTGATGGTAAGTGGTTGCTGCGGCCCATAGACATCTACATCTATCTTCGTTTGCGAATTAAAATGCAGATGCGTTGTCAGCCGTGAGGACTAAGATTGAATGCCTCTTTTCCAGTAAAAAGGGTCTCCGGTTCTCTACACTCACCATACGAAACACAGCAGCATTAAGCTGCTATTTTACGCTGGTATCCTGTGAGAGCGTGGTCCTTCCCCGGTCGAGCCGACCCATTCGTGCTACAACTATACTATTAATATAGCTGCAGCATGGCTCTACCACGTATAAAAATTATAACAATAAACTAAAAATTTTACACACGCAAAGATACATTATAACAGTATCGCTCGATGACAGCGACAACTCGGATACAGTGTGATCAGACGTTTCACTAATCTGCATAGTATGAGGGCGAGCGGCCTATGTTGGTAAACTAATCCAACAACTAATGAAATAACGCCACCGATATTATTATAATTATTAAGTTTAAAAAGCAGTAAATAGTCATGATCTGATTAAAAATTACTTATATATACAGGGTGTCCCAGTAATGGGGGATAATCTGGTATGTACGTGTTCGCTGGTTCGCTGGTTCGCTGGTACGAGGTGGCCTCGGTTCCCTAAAAAAAAAATTCTACCCCCGAACGGTTCGCGTTCTATGCCATGTTTTATAAAATTCCGAAATTTCGTACTTCTGCTCACATATTGTGGTCATCACGTCCACAGTTTCATGCCTAGATCGAATTTTTTTCTTTCAATGTGTTCCCTAATAATGATGTTCCTAAATTACCCTTAAAAGTTTTCAACTACTATGGGTAGTATTTTACAAGACGGCACTAAACATAAGTTTAAATTTTTTACTTTATTTATCTGCTAAGTTTGAGCACCTGTGGTGAAAAAGAAAACATGGGATCTGTGTGGCCAATCATTTAAAAAGTTTGCCTACATCATGAGGATTCTAAAACATCAGCATACTATGCACTTAATATCATTACTTACTGAGCTATAGCCGTTAATGTGTAAAAGTAGAAATTTCATTACAAAATTATTGGCAATAGTTTTTTAACATTGCCTGTCTTTATTAGGTAAAAGTACATCTGTCGCCCTTGAAAATTTTACTTTACTACCTACGCCTTGTTTGGACGAATTTTAAGCTGTGTGAGCGAGACAAACAGTGAAACTTGACATGTTCTATTATGTACAGCTGTGAAAATATGGTTTGTACAGTTTTCCATTTGTTAAGGATGCGTAAATTAATGAAAAGAGCGTGAGTTATATCGATTTTCTTTTATTTAAAATAATTTACAGAGAGTGCTCGAACTGGCCTCCTCCGGCCATTATGCAGGCTCTACATCTTTTTACAAACGATCTTTCTAAAAGTTTTTGATAATTTTTGGTTGCAATAACCCTTGATGCTTCTGTGATGCAAAGTCTAAGTTCGTCCATTGTTTCAATTGGTTTTTTATAAACTTGCTCCTTTAGGCAGCCCCAATAAAAAAATCTAATGGGTTAAAATAAATAAATCTTGGTATAAATAACGGGGATGGGGATTCGGCCGATCCATCGGTCACGATGGGCTTCGTTTAAGTAACTCCTTACTTGGACGGCGTAATATGCCGGACAACCATGATTTTGGGAAAAAAATCCGATGTAGGCATTAAACTGTGGACGTGATGACTACAAATTTGAGCAAAGTACGAATTTTCGGAATTTTATAAAACATGGCGTAGAGCGCGAACCGTTCGGGGCAGAATTTTTTTTAGGGAACCGAGAACCGAACCCTCCCGAACACGTACGTATCAGATTATCCACCATTACTGGGACAACCTGTATATGAAAGTTAACGCCATCATTTTGAAAATTTGACGTAGCAGATTTCTTTTTGCAGCAAAGAACTGAACAATTCGGCATTTTTAAAGGATGTCGATTCAGTCGCGTAACTAGATTTAGTCTAGTCAGCAGTGCGGTTGCAGCTAGCTTTATTATATGCATAGTATAGCGTGGTCTTGTTTTTTCCCAGAGGGAAACGCCTTTGTATTTGTGTATGGTTGCTCTTGTCCGTACCACCGGTGGCTTGTGCTGTTCTATATTATAATCCATGTATTTCTTAATAGTATAATAACCCTTTTTATACAAAAATTGTTTAATAAAGTCCTTCGCTGACGTTAAATTTTGTTGTTGAATGAATGTGAAATCAAATATTGCAGAGCGAGTATAAGGAGGCCCGGCTGAGCGTGACAGCGCGCGGCGAGCGCACTGCGGCGGCGTTGGCGCGACTGCGGCGTGGCCTGACGTTGCTGGCGCTCACCGGCGTCGAGGACCGCCTCGCCGACCACGTGCCGCGCACGCTCGCCATGCTGCGCGCCGCCAACCTCAAGGTACCGCACCGCGCCGCATGGCGCTGCTGGCGCTCACCGGCGTCGAGGACCGCCTCGCCGACCACGTGCCGCGCACGCTCGCCATGCTGCGCGCCGCCAACCTCAAGGTACCGCACCGCGCCGCATGGCGCTGCTGGCGCTCACCGGCGTCGAGGACCGCCTCGCCGACCACGTGCCGCGCACGCTCGCCATGCTGCGCGCCGCCAACCTCAAGGTACCGCACCGCGCCGCATGGCGCTGCTGGCGCTCACCGGCGTCGAGGACCGCCTCGCCGACCACGTGCCGCGCACGCTCGCCATGCTGCGCGCCGCCAACCTCAAGGTACCGCACCGCGCCGCATGGCGCTGCTGGCGCTCACCGGCGTCGAGGACCGCCTCGCCGACCACGTGCCGCGCACGCTCGCCATGCTGCGCGCCGCCAACATACAAAACGACGAGAAAATTCTGGAGCTGGAAGAAAAGATAGACAAGTTTCGTTTGGATATTATAGGTTTATCTGTGGTCGAAGAGAGAGGAAGGACACAAAAATTCTTCGAATCTGGCAACTTGTTTAATCACCGTGTGTCGCCCTCCCGGTGATAGGTGATATATCCCTCTGTCCCAAGAAGGTGTCGGATTTATCGTCCACATTTTGTCTCGTTAACAACTTTGTAAAGATTGGCAGTGTGTCTACGAGGGTTGCGTACCTTATGCTCAGAATCACCAAACGGTAATCGCTGAAGGTTATACAGGTTTACGAACAAACCTCTGCACATCCTGGTGAGGAGGTGGTGGAAATGTATGAGAATATCTCTAGAGCCGTGCGTTCCTCGAAAACCCACTATACGCTGTTAATGGGAGACTTCAACGCAAATCTAGGCACAAAAAAGAAAGGTGAGCTAAAGGTACGGAAATTCGGGATAAGGCAACCGGAGCGGCCGACTTCATAAAGAAAGAGGGACTCTTTATGATGAACTCTTTCTTTCAGAAGCGGCCTCGCAGAAAGTGGATCTGGTCGAGCCCGAGCATTTTTTGTCGATCGACAAAAAATGAGATTGACTTCATTACACCGACTAGACGGCAACTCAGTGATGACTCAGTGATTGCGAGGGTGTAAACTGGCATCGATAACCGAATGGTGAGAGGCACACTGAACCTAAACGGTAAGCTGGAGTGGTCATGTCTAATTCCCGAAAAAAAACTTTCAACTAGACTTACGAAATCGTATTCAGTGCCTAGAAAGAAGCCTGCAATACGGTGAACGATATGAATGACAAGCTTGTCGAAACTGTCGATGCGTGCGGTCGAAACTAAGTTTTGCAAGACCCGTTACATAAGAACATAAAAACTCTCCGATCACGCGCTTAATCTCATGGCTGTTAGTTTGATTTCTAATCAAATAGGAAAATTAGGAAGATTAGAGTGCATTTGAGTCTGTGCTTATATTTATGCACTATAATCCTACCTGATATTTTACATTATTCTGCCGCTGTCTTGGGCAATACTGCTCTCTTTGCATCCAGATCTGGATGCTGACGGGCGACAAGCTGGAGACGGCACTGTGCATCGCGCGCTCGCTGCAGCTGGGCGGCGGCACGCACTGGCTGACCGCCAGCGAGTGCACCACCAGACTCCAGGCGTACGCCCTGCTGAACTCGCTGCAGCGCGCAGATGAATCCACCGACCTCATCATTGAGGGGGAGACCCTAGAGGTAGGTACGCCTTTTTCCACCGACGAATAATAATTAATAGGAATAACCTTGCGCCGTATTTTGTCTTAGCTGTCAATCTGGTAGAGTAATCAAAACAGATTGTTTGAAATAATATTTATTTAGAAAAGAACTATGCACGGAATAGTTTTAATTACAATAATAGCACTTCTAGTCATCGTCATCATCATCATCATCATCATCATCAACACTGCTGCTTTCCTATATAAAAGTAGAACATTAACTTATGTAGGTAGTAATAAGACTCAGTTTGTAAAAAAACATCTTTGCAATGCGTAAGTTTTAAATAACATTTGACAGATTGAGTTCATTGACGTACGTATTCTCAGTTGAATCAAATTTTACCTAGTACCTTCAGTCCTAATGTCCTACACATGTGTGTGGTAATGAAATGATAACACTTTATTTTTACGTAAAAAACGTATAAACCGTACGGATAAAGAATGGGGTTAGAAATGGCGGCGCATCAAGCCCGTACTATCAACGTGCACAGTACCAATAACGAAAACCCGCTAATAACGATATATCTTTATAAAGTTATATTATTCTGTTATATGGAATTTTTATTTTTATTTATATTTTTGGGGTTAATTTTTTATTAATAGGAAAATATTTAAAAAAAATTGTGTATCCAAGTAGATATATTAAATTTTAAATTAACATTTACCTAGTCAGGTCATAAATTCTGTCACATGTTTAATATAAAATAACTGAAACAAGTTTATTCATTATATAACCATTTATATACCAAAATGAACTTAACAAAACATAGATTCTTATGACACTAAAGTTTATTCAAAATGACCTCCGTGATTTTGAATACAGGCCTTCAATCTGCGCGGCCAGTCGTCTATCGCAGCACGAACAAGGTCCATGTCAATATCGGCGGCTGCCTTAATCAAGGATGTCTTGAGTGACTCCAAATTGGATGAGGCTTTGAGCACGCCTTTTCCTCCAAGTGTTGCCATATCTTGTAATCTAACGGATTCAAATCTGGACTGGAGGAGGGCCAGTCTTCGTGCCGGATGAAGTCGATTTCATGCGCCGCCAGCCAGTCTTGTGTGCTCTTCTCTCTATGAGCTGGCGCCGAATCTTGTTGGAATACCCAGTGCCTGTTATTGAACATGGTATGAGAAACAAGTTCCACAAGGTTCGTCAGGACTGTATTTTGATACACAACTGCATTCGTTTTTACACCTTTCTCACAAAAATGTACCTCTGTTAAGCCCCAATAAGAAACTCCCAACCATACCATGCGAGGATGGAAAATGACCTCGTTGGACACGCGGAATACGGTTGCTCGCTTCTTCACTACTGTGTGCGTACACCTTATCATTTTGTTTGTTGTAGCTCTCTCCTACCGTAAAAATTTTTTCATCCGAAAAAAGAATTTCCCGATATTTTTTTCCCGCGTATCGCTTCAACAAAGCGCGGCATCTCTTTAGTCTCAGGTCCATTAGACGAGCATTCAAACCATGTCCTGTTTTTCTTTGATATGCCCGAAGCCCTAAGTCTTCAGTTAACACCCTTTTCACCTTGGTTCTGCTTAACCCCATCTGAAGGGCCAACAGTTTCTGCTTACGTTTGGGATTTCTTTGAATTCGCACCTTCACAGCTTTTATCACTGCTGGAGTCCTAACAGACCGAGGCCGACCACTTCTTGACCTGTCATCTACACTAGAGTCTTCATTGTATCGTTTGATGGTACGATAAACGAATCTTTTGGTTATATTCAAATTTTTCAGTATATCAAAAATTTGAATTGGCGCGTAACTGCAACGATGCAACACAATAACTGCAACACGGTCTTCTTTAAGCGTCCACTCCATATTTAAAAATGAATAAAATTCTAAAAAGTATACAGTTTTATTTTCATGAACAATTCGAAATTCGAATTCAATAAACTTTTTTGTGGCCAGCATTCTAAAAGAAAAGTTTTTACTGTGTGACAATACTTATGACCTGACTAGGTATAATTAGCGACCCACTCGGCTTCGCCTGGGTGGGATTTATTAATGTGGGGTTATTTAGACTTAAGATAAACATTAAAGATCATTTATTTTATGTTAAAATCTTTAATTTTTTTGGATAAAATTTTAGTTTAGATCACTCCTGGTATTACTCTCTATTGTTCGTGAAGTTTTGCTACAATCGGTCCAGCTATTTCGAAGATTAGATCTGATAGGTAGACAAACGAAAATTTTAAAAATGTTACAATGGCATGTAAATATTTTATACAAAAATATTAACAAACAAAATCAACAATAATTGTGAAGAATACTTTCAGAACGCGTCGTAGCTCACAAATTAGCAAAATCGAACTGATCTTATTTTGTAGTTTATGGGAATTTTTTATCATTGATTCCAATGACAAGTACGACTGAAGTTATAGAACGTAACGAAGAATGCATATCGCAATGTATTTTTTTTACAGTCTTTACCGGCGTGTGTGAGTATAAATAGCTACAGTGTGTGAGCGGGAGATGAATGGAGGCGACGCCATTTTCTATCCCATTCTTTGACCGCACGGGTAATAAGAATGTACATTTAATAATCAACGTATTTCAAATATACTTCGGAGCGGTACAGGAACCGCGATACCTGTAAATTAGACGTTGGCCCAAGCTACTTTGTCCCACACATTTTGTTACTCAGAAAATAAGTAACGTCTGTGGGTGCAGGGATCTGGGACTATAGAGTTTGTTTTAAGTAAAGGCGTGGGGATGCAGGTGTGCCTGCGGTGCTACGAGGAGGAGTTCGTGTCGGTGCTGCGGCGCTGCTCGGGCATGGTGGTGGCGCGCTGCTCGCCCACGCAGAAGGCGCGCGTGGCGCAGCTGCTGCGTGCGAGAGGACACGTCGTTGCTGCGGTCGGCGACGGCGGGAACGACGTCGCCATGATACAGGAGGCCGACATAGGTCAGTGCTGTCGTATTATGTTATGTACTCATTTACCGAGCAGCCTACTTGAGGCAGACTGAGGCTGCTGATCTTGAGGCAGAGTATCGAGGCACGTTGCGGATCAAAGAGATCGATCCAATTTTGAGAGTACCGATAGTGAGTAAAAGAGTTATATCACAATAGAGTTCAGCATGAGATTACAATTCAAGTCAATTGGAATCCCTAATTTTGAACTAATGTCGTTCCACACACCCTGCATAATATTTTGTCGTAAATCTTTTTATTTAATGGATGTCATAAAACACAATAATTCTGGTATAGTTTTATTAATTTAACTGCGGTATAGTTGTCGATCTCCATTGCGAATTGCGACCTGAGACGATACGCCCGTCTCCACTATACACACGGCTTAAACTAAGGATCCTTTGAGCGCGCCAAAGAACCGATAATATATGGCTCGACCCGAGCTACAAATTGGCTCATGGCTCAGTGTGCTTCATGCACTACCCCGCATTCTGAATTTATAAATAAAAAGGACAGTATGTTTGAGCTCTTATTTTTTTTTTCACCATTCGCCTAAAAACTTACCTATCCTGAATCTCCCTTGCAAAGAACAATGGCAAAAAAATTTTGATGGAATTATTAAGTGTCTATTTATGTTATCATTACAAACATTAATAAAATTATTTACTATGTTTTATCTAATCAAGCTTATGGCCTATAGAAGTTGAAATTGATTAGTTATTGTAGCAAATTTTTAATGGAATTATTAAGCGTCTACTTAAGTCACAACTAAGGAAAAAAAGAAGATTTATTATAGACTTTTTCCATATTGTTAGTAGCAAAAAAGAGATCTTAAAAATCTATTTAAATAAGTATTTTTCTCGTATTTTAGGATTCGCCAATTAAGGCAGGCAAATGTCTTATACCATACAGCCTAGTCTGATGTGAATTTTGTTCAAACTGGAATATTTTTAATTCCTGACTTCTTGTATTACTATGACTGAAGAAAAAATTGTTTAGGGCTTCAAATTCTATATCTTTACATATTTTTCATTTGTAGACGCAAGAAGAAAATGTTAATAAAAATTTGTTTGGGAGTTCGCCATTGTCCTTTGGGCATAGTTAGTAAAATAACGTTTTTGTTCCTAGTATTTACAGAGTGAATATCACTTTTTTTAAACTATTTCTATTTTTGTGGACATGCATAAGTTTTTTTGTAATTTCTTAAATTTTTTTTAAAATGTTTGTGTGTTGGTACGCAGGCGTGGGCATCGAGGGTGCGGAGGGGCGCGCGGCGTCGCTGGCGGGCGACGTGAGCGTGCGCGCGTTCAGCTCGCTGGCGCGCCTGCTGCTGGTGCACGGCCGCCGCGCCGCCATGCGCTCCGCCGCGCTCTGCCTCTTCATCGTGCACCGCGGCGTCGTCGTCTCCACCATGCAGGTGCCTGGCTCCCCTCCCCCGCCCTCCCCCGCCCTCCCCCTCCCCACACGTGCGCGCGTTCAGCTCGCTGGCGCGCCTGCTGCTGGTGCACGGCCGCCGCGCCGCCATGCGCTCCGCCGCGCTCTGCCTCTTCATCGTGCACCGCGGCCTCGTCGTCTCCACCATGCAGGTGCCTGGCTCCCCTCCCCCGCCCTCCCCCGCCCTCCCCCTCCCCACACGTGCGCGCGTTCAGCTCGCTGGCGCGCCTGCTGCTGGTGCACGGCCGCCGCGCCGCCATGCGCTCCGCCGCGCTCTGCCTCTTCATCGTGCACCGCGGCCTCGTCGTCTCCACCATGCAGGTGCCTGGCTCCCCTCCCCCGCCCTCCCCCGCCCTCCCCCTCCCCACACGTGCGCGCGTTCAGCTCGCTGGCGCGCCTGCTGCTGGTGCACGGCCGCCGCGCCGCCATGCGCTCCGCCGCGCTCTGCCTCTTCATCGTGCACCGCGGCCTCGTCGTCTCCACCATGCAGGTGCCTGGCTCCCCTCCCCCGCCCTCCCCCTGCCCTCCCCCTCCCCACACGTGCGCGCGTTCAGCTCGCTGGCGCGCCTGCTGCTGGTGCACGGCCGCCGCGCCGCCATGCGCTCCGCCGCGCTCTGCCTCTTCATCGTGCACCGCGGCCTCGTCGTCTCCACCATGCAGGTGCCTGGCTCCCCTCCCCCGCCCTCCCCCGCCCTCCCCCTCCCCACACGTGCGCGCGTTCAGCTCGCTGGCGCGCCTGCTGCTGGTGCACGGCCGCCGCGCCGCCATGCGCTCCGCCGCGCTCTGCCTCTTCATCGTGCACCGCGGCCTCGTCGTCTCCACCATGCAGGTGCCTGGCTCCCCTCCCCCGCCCTCCCCCGCCCTCCCCCTCCCCACACGTGCGCGCGTTCAGCTCGCTGGCGCGCCTGCTGCTGGTGCACGGCCGCCGCGCCGCCATGCGCTCCGCCGCGCTCTGCCTCTTCATCGTGCACCGCGGCCTCGTCGTCTCCACCATGCAGGTGCCTGGCTCCCCTCCCCCGCCCTCCCCCGCCCTCCCCCTCCCCACACGTGCGCGCGTTCAGCTCGCTGGCGCGCCTGCTGCTGGTGCACGGCCGCCGCGCCGCCATGCGCTCCGCCGCGCTCTGCCTCTTCATCGTGCACCGCGGCCTCGTCGTCTCCACCATGCAGGTGCCTGGCTCCCCTCCCCCGCCCTCCCCCTGCCCTCCCCCTCCCCACACGTGCGCGCGTTCAGCTCGCTGGCGCGCCTGCTGCTGGTGCACGGCCGCCGCGCCGCCATGCGCTCCGCCGCGCTCTGCCTCTTCATCGTGCACCGCGGCCTCGTCGTCTCCACCATGCAGGTGCCTGGCTCCCCTCCCCCGCCCTCCCCCGCCCTCCCCCTCCCCACACGTGCGCGCGTTCAGCTCGCTGGCGCGCCTGCTGCTGGTGCACGGCCGCCGCGCCGCCATGCGCTCCGCCGCGCTCTGCCTCTTCATCGTGCACCGCGGCCTCGTCGTCTCCACCATGCAGGTGCCTGGCTCCCCTCCCCCGCCCTCCCCCTCCCCACACGTGCGCGCGTTCAGCTCGCTGGCGCGCCTGCTGCTGGTGCACGGCCGCCGCGCCGCCATGCGCTCCGCCGCGCTCTGCCTCTTCATCGTGCACCGCGGCCTCGTCGTCTCCACCATGCAGGTGCCTGGCTCCCCTCCCCCGCCCTCCCCCGCCCTCCCCCTCCCCACACGTGCGCGCGTTCAGCTCGCTGGCGCGCCTGCTGCTGGTGCACGGCCGCCGCGCCGCCATGCGCTCCGCCGCGCTCTGCCTCTTCATCGTGCACCGCGGCCTCGTCGTCTCCACCATGCAGGTGCCTGGCTCCCCTCCCCCGCCCTCCCCCGCCCTCCCCCTCCCCACACGTGCGCGCGTTCAGCTCGCTGGCGCGCCTGCTGCTGGTGCACGGCCGCCGCGCCGCCATGCGCTCCGCCGCGCTCTGCCTCTTCATCGTGCACCGCGGCCTCGTCGTCTCCACCATGCAGGTGCCTGGCTCCCCTCCCCCGCCCTCCCCCTCCCCACACGTGCGCGCGTTCAGCTCGCTGGCGCGCCTGCTGCTGGTGCACGGCCGCCGCGCCGCCATGCGCTCCGCCGCGCTCTGCCTCTTCATCGTGCACCGCGGCCTCGTCGTCTCCACCATGCAGGTGCCTGGCTCCCCTCCCCCGCCCTCCCCCGCCCTCCCCCTCCCCACACGTGCGCGCGTTCAGCTCGCTGGCGCGCCTGCTGCTGGTGCACGGCCGCCGCGCCGCCATGCGCTCCGCCGCGCTCTGCCTCTTCATCGTGCACCGCGGCCTCGTCGTCTCCACCATGCAGGTGCCTGGCTCCCCTCCCCCGCCCTCCCCCGCCCTCCCCCTCCCCACACGTGCGCGCGTTCAGCTCGCTGGCGCGCCTGCTGCTGGTGCACGGCCGCCGCGCCGCCATGCGCTCCGCCGCGCTCTGCCTCTTCATCGTGCACCGCGGCCTCGTCGTCTCCACCATGCAGGTGCCTGGCTCCCCTCCCCCGCCCTCCCCCTGCCCTCCCCCTCCCCACACGTGCGCGCGTTCAGCTCGCTGGCGCGCCTGCTGCTGATCCTATATATACTATACTATATACATCTATCAAAAAATATTCATCTATCAAAAGCGATGAAACCTTTCTGGCAATTAACATGGCCATCTAGTAAACAGTCAAACAATACAGTTACAGCCTAACTAAGGGTAAGATGTCACTAAGACCAGCTTTATTTGTAATAGTAACGGTGTTAGTTCACATCTTTATAATATAAAATGACAAATCCATGTTCTATTGGTTAGTAGTTTAATGTAGTCCTAGATACCTGCAAAGATACGTTGTCACTACTGAGGAGCAAGATTGAATGTCACTCAGCATGCAATCAAACTGTCTCTCTTACCATTCCAATTGAAAAACGAAATAAACCGAATGGTAGCTTTTGACTTTCAAAATGTGCTTTTATAAAGCCAATTTTGAATAAAATTATTTGACTTTGCCGTTGAAATTGGGTACATACTGCACAAATGCTTTCGAAAAAAAAAATAAGTGCGTGGTACCTAGCTAGATGAAGTCCTAAACAGAAAGGACAAAGCACTATCAACTAGAGAAATTTAGTTTTTTTTTAATAATATAGTTATAGGCCAGCTGATTAAGTGGATACAATGCCCGATAGATATATCCACATCTATCCTCTATTAAGAAACAAAATTTTGATACGTTGTCACCCCGGAGGACTAAGATGGAATAGCCCGTTACCAGTGAAAAGGGTATTCTGTATACTCACCATGCTAAACACAGCAGCATTATTCTGCTGTTTCATGCTGGTATTCCGTGAGAACGTGATCCTTTACCGGTCGAACTGAACTATTCGTGCGTATGAAATTATTTAATGAAATAATTTTTCTGTTTTCTCACAGGCGGTGTTCTCAGTGGTGTTCTACTTCTCGTCAGTATCTCTCTACCCCGGATTTCTCATGGTCGGCTACGGAACTGTTTTCACTATGCTGCCAGTTTTCTCTTTAGTAAGTAAGCAGACACTGGAACTTATTATTGTTTTCTGAGTAAAAATGTTATTTAATTTGGGTTTTGAATATTTTAAAATCTATGACAGACAATAATTGGGTAAATATTATTGGTAACATTATTAACGAAAATCTGAAAATTATTTTAGTGGAATTGAATTTTAGTAAATAGATTTATTACGTCCACCTCCATTTTGTGCCGTGGGCGTCATAAAAAGCAAATCTTAGGCCCGTATTAATAAACGTCACTCGGCTCAAGTACATGCACTTGAGTACAATCTTGAGATTATGATCTTATTAATAAACATTTCTCAAGAAACTCGTCTCTCAAGTGTGTGTACTTGAGTGCAAGTCACAGGACAGTATTAATAAGTACAGCGTTTTGAGATACTGTTTTATGTGTTTATTAATTAGCAACGATCTTGAGATGCTGATATCGTAATGAGGGCGTATCAAATGATTACGCACTTGAGTTCGTCGTTGAGTAACGTTTATTAATACTTGCCTTATAGTCGAGGACTTATGAATACATATTGTATACATATTTGGTGGATATATATTTAAAAATGTTGACACATCACCGGCTGAACTCACCCTCAACGAAATAAACATACTGCTTTTTAGTAAAATTATCAAACCGTTTTTTTTTTTTAACTATAATTAATTTATTTGTTATATTACTAACATTTTTCCCTTTAGTTAAAGTTGTGTTTACAATTTTATGTTGTGTACTTATACGTAGACTTGTCATATACGTAGACTTGTCATATATAAATCAACAAACTATAGTTGCATGTTCTTGTTAATATTATTGCAAAATGTTGAACTGGTTATGACCAGGACTTTTACTAGGATATCAGGCTTATTACTTTTAAAAATATATTTACAGGTTCTTGACAAGGACATCCCAAGCTCGACGGCACTAAGATACCCGCAACTGTATAAACAGTTAACAAATGGAAGGCAGCTCTCATATAAGACTTTTTATATGTGGATTGGTATATCTATTTATCAAGGTAAGATTTTTCTTTATCTATTTTTCATCCTAAATGTTAGTTTATATTTAAATATTTGGAACAAAAAAATATTTTATTGAACAGTTAAAAATATAAGACCTTTTAAGAGTTAAACTTTAACGCCGTCCACTACCCTCTAGAGACGGCAAAGCAGGCCTTGCCCTTTTTGACCGAGACGCAGGTGTCCTCTCCGGCTGATACTTGGTACTTGTCCTACCCGGGGTACAAATTAGAACACTTCTTTGTGCCCGACTGGCGTCGACATATCGAGTGACGTGCAGTTTCGTGGTAACTTGGAAGAGAAGGCCAAATTGGCCTCTAAAAAGCTTGGCGTGCTCAGCAGAGCGGGACAGTATTTCATGCCGGCACACCGCCTGCAACTTTACAAGTCGCAGGTTCGGCCTCACATGGAATACTGTTCCCGTCTCTGGGCAGGGGCACCCCAGTCCCAGCTCCTTCCACTTGACCGCATCCAGCGCAGAGCGGTTCAAATCGTCGACGACCGAGTTCTTTCCGATCGGCTTGACTCACTGGCACTGCGTAGACTCTTTGCGTATTTTATCGCATTTACCATGGGGAGTGCTCTGTGAATTTATTCGGACTAATTCCAGCCGCTCAATTTCACCATCGCACATCGCGACAAAACTTGCAATACCATCCATACCACTTGAATGATTGGCGGTCCACCACTGTGCGATTTAGAAGATGTTTTCTTCCTCGCACAACTTCCCTGTGGAATCTATTACCACCAGCGATTTTTCCGGACCGATAAGATTTAGGGACCTTCAATAAAAGAGCGTACTCCTCTTTAAAAGGCCGGCAACGCATCTGTAATTCCCTCCCTGGTGTTGCAGTGTTCATGGGCGGCGGTAGTCACTTATCATCAGGTGAGCCGCATGCTCGTTTGCCCCCACTCCTATAAAAAAAAAGTTAATCTCTCTCACTTTCTTTTTTCCTAAATAACAATAGAAAAAGACAAAGGATAATTAATACTTAGTGAAAGTAACCTATAATTAATAATTTTATAAGTAAGGCCGATAAATATTTTTATGTTGATGTTTTAGTGATTAGTCCTTACGTTGGCCTGAACCGAAGTAAACTGAACGAACTTCCAACGTGTGGATGCCGTCATAAACTCTTGGCTAATATCTTTGCCAACACATTCGCCACTATGTTGGGCAACGTAAAGAGCCGCCTTTAGGGCTGCTTTTCACGTGGCCAACACGTACAACGTGAATGTGTATAAGAAAAGGTTGATGAAAAAGAAATGGAAAAATGGAATTTTATTTATTCTGTTCCACAAACAATTTTTGGCTTGGTAGAGCTCTGTAATGCGAAAAGTTTCTTCATTGGTCATTATTACTGCCATTTTGTAGACACTAGTTATGATGCGTGAATATAAAATTTAAATCAGGTGCGTGCGATCACTCTGGGAGCTCGTGGCAAACTAAGGTGCGTCCAACGTGTGGACGTGGCGGCCAATACTCTGCTTTTTGATCTTTTGTAAAAAACCGACCCCGCACGGATCTCATGCCAACTTGTGGGCCATCATTCCAATACATACCAACGTAAGCACAAACACCCGCTCTACACCATGGTCATTGGTATTGGCCAACACATTCGTCACTATGTTGGCCAACGTGAAGAGCCGCCATAAGACTGATGGTAGAAATTCATATATACTGCTCTTTGGAACCCGAAAGCTACTTTCAAGGGTTGAAAAACTATCACCCATTGCCAAATATCTCATGACTATTCGTAGTTTGTCGTGCAGATAATGCTGGTCTTATAACATTGTCTGTTTATATGTTTGTCTCGACTTTACTCAAGAGATACTTAAATTGCTCGGAATAGAGTTAAATGATTTTTAAACGTAGCGGGGTCCTCCTTTTCCACTTCCCGAAGGAAATTATTAGATGCTCACATTTCATTGCGACGTAAACTTCAGGACCGAGTCCAAATTCTCTTTTTTCTTATTTCTTTTCTTTACTTGTTTTGTTGACAAGTCTGCGATAATTCCTACACTGTCTAGTAACAAATCTGTCTCGTCAGACATATTTTTATAGGTGTTGTTACTCTCGAAGGACGGTAAAAATAAACAAACTGACCAAAGTCAAATATGCACGTGTCAACCGGTAACAAAGTGAACCTTGACCAAAGCTATATTGTCAAAGTTACTTTGTCAGAGCAGACTTTGATCGTGTCAAAGCGGCTTTATACCGCGATCGCCAAGTGTGACGTATACACAGCCCATTATGTACAACGGTGGACTGTTCCAGACTGATAAAACTAATTGAAGCGTATGTCGAACAAGTGGACTGTATTTGTTTTAATAAACTGAGATGACTGACAGAGACTACTTTAACTGACTGAGAAACTTAATTAAGACGGTTCTGTTGAAAGAAAGGTGGGACAACTAATAATAATTCATTTTACTATTGTCGGCGCACGTCATCGCGCCTCGGCCAAAATGGAGGACGCGTGGGGGCGCGGGCCGCTCGCTGGCCCTGCGACAGCGCGCCCGCTTCTGTTCGCACTCAGCTGCGGGACGCAGTAGCAGACGGCCACTTCATTCTTCAATTTATATTATGTTTGTTTAGAGGTTTTACGGCATTAAACCTATTGTCAATACAGTCCACTTATTTTACTTTGTAAAGTCCCGATAAGGCCTAAACAACTATTTACAATATAGCGGCACAATTACTTAATTATTTACACTAATATTCGGAGCACTAGTCGGATTCAATTCAATTCACGATTGTTTGCTAGCGACATGTCCGCTTTTGGTCCTCGCGATGAGCGTTGTGTAATCGATGTTCGCTGACGCTAGCTTAGAGCACGCTGATTGGCCGCTCGCGTCCAGGATGTCGTCGCGTGAGGGGCGGCTCCCCTCGCCGTCTATTACGCCAATATAATAAGTAAATGAATTTTATTTGCAGGCGGCGTCATAATGTACGGCGCCCTGGTACTATTCGAAGACCAGCTGATCCACATAGTGGAGATCAGCTATACAGCGTTGATCCTGACCGAGCTGATCATGGTGGCGCTGACCGTGGTCACGTGGCACCGCCTCATGATCCTGGCCGAGCTGGTGAGCCTGGCCATGTACGCGGCCACGCTTTTCATATTCACCACGTACTTTGGTAAGTAATATCGTCCCAATTGTGCATTCATCATGTTCTTTGAAGGGTGAAAGGAAGGACCGTATCCACGGATAGAAACATGCATACATAACGTATTATGTACCTACGAGTCTTTATACTAGCTCGTATATCTAATATTTTACAGCTAGTTTCATGAAAATATACCTACGCTGCACGGCCCCCTACAAGGGGCTAATTTCGTGAGGTTGTCATGCGCGCGCTCGAGTTGACGCGCGCCTTACGTTAACAAAAGTATTTTTCTCTTATATCGTATTTACACTCCAGCCCCAGGCGAGGATGGAATTACAGCGGAGCTTCTGAAAGCGGGTGGAAGACCGGTACTTGAAGTCCTTCAGAAGCTCTTTAATTCCGTCCTCCATGGTGGCATTACACCGGAGGCGTGGAGCAGAAGTGCGGTGGTCTTGTTCTTCAAGAAAGGTGACAACGCCCTCTTGAAGAACTACAGACCGATTTCCCTTCTGAGCCGCGTCTACGTGCTGTTTTCGAGAGTCATTACGAATCGTCTCGCGCGCAGACTTGACGACTTCCAGCCTCCCGAACAAGCCGGTTTCCGAAAGGGCTTTAGCACCATAGACCACATACATACCCTTCGGCAAATTGTACAGAAGTCCGAAGAGTACAATTTGCCACTATGTCTGGCGTATGTGGACTATGAGAAAGCCTTTGATTCCGTCGAAATTTGGGCGGTGCTGCAGTCCCTTCAGCGGTGCCAAGTTGACTGTCGGTATATCGAAGTGTTGAAGTGCTTGTACAGTAGGGCTACGATGGCTATCCGAGTACAGAACCAGAGTACGAAACCTATCCAATTGCAGAGAGGTGTAAGACAGGGTGACGTCATATCCCCGAAACTCTTCACCGCTGCATTGGAAGACGTTTTCAAGCTTCTGGACTGGAAAGGATACGGTATCAACATCAATGGCGAGTACATCACTCACCTTCGATTTGCCGACGATATAGTCCTTATGGCAGAATCGCTGGAGGACCTAAGCACTATGCTCAATGACCTCGATAGTGTTTCCCAACGGATAGGTCTTAAGATGAACATGGACAAAACAAAGATCATGTTTAATGTCCATGTCACACCTATGCCGGTAGTTGTTGGGAACACTAAGCTCGAAGTTGTTGACGAGTATGTTTACCTGGGACAAATAGTCCGACTAGGTAAGTCCAACTTCGACCGAGAGGTCAATCGACGGATTCAACTCGGCTGGGCAGCGTTCGGGAAGCTACGACACATCTTCTCGTCAGACATACCTCAAAACCTGAAAACGAAATTGTACAACCAGTGCGTGTTGCCAGTAATGACTTATGGAACTGAGACGTGGTCCTTCACTGCTGGCCGTATGAGGAAGCTCAAGGTCGCTCAGCGAGCTATGGAGAGGGCTATGCTCGGAGTTTCTCTGCGTGATAAACTTAGGAATGAGGATATCCGCAGTAGAACCAGAGTAACCGACATAGCCCAACGGATTAGTAAGCTGAAGTGGCAGTGGGCCGGCCATATAGCTCGAAGAACCGACAACCGATGGGGAAGAAAGGTTCTCGAGTGGCAGCCTCGTACCGGTAGGCGAAGTGTAGGGCGTCCCCCCACGAGATGGAGTGACGACCTGGTAAGACATGCAGGAAGTCGATGGATGCAGGTGGCTCAGGACCGTGCTTTGTGGCATTCTTTGGGGGAGGCCTATGTTCAGCAGTGGACTTGTGAAGGGCTGTAATGATGATGATGATCGTATTTAAGCACTTTTGATATTTATTTTTGAGTTTTTATTCAAGTATGGCCTCTCAAGAAGCCAAAAGGTACGAGGGTGACACTGAAAGTTCTTAGAAAATCAATAACAGAACAAACTAGCAAGTTATTGGTTTTATTATGTCTTTTCAAAATAGTGTCCATTTACATCAATACATCGCTGCATCCGATGGAACCACTGAGAAAAGCACTTTATCTACTCGTCCTTAGGGGTCTGTTTGACGGCATATTGAAACGCAGCCACTGCTGCCTCGGCATCCATAAAATGGTTTCCTCGAAGTTTCTTTCTTTTATTTTCGGAAATAAGTAAAAATTGCAAGGTGTGAGGTCGGGGCTATAGGGCGGGCGACCCAGTAGTTTCATGTTTGACGTCGCCATGTAGACCATTGTTTGCTTGACGGTGTGCAACGAGGCGTTGTCGTGGTGAAGGACGATCCTACTGCGAGGTCGTTTCTTCCGAACTTTTCCCAAGGCAAATGGCAAACAATTGTTAGTGTACCACTCTGCAGTAACTGTTGTCTGATCATCTAAAACAATTTTTGCATAATGGCCTGTCCTTCCGAAGAACGAGGCCACCATCTTTTTTTACAACGCTTCGACCTCTCTTCACTTTAGTTGGTAACTCCTCGGAAGGAAACACCCAGACAGCAGACTGTCTCTTAGTTTCAGGATCATAATAATAAATCCAGCTTTCGTCACCCGTAAGTATGTCGAACACAGGATTTGAGTCATCTCCGTTAAATCTTTGAACCATTTCACGACACTAATCAACATGACGGAGTTTTTGAGCCTCTGTCAAATTATGAGGTCGGGCACAAAGCTTCCTAACCGCTAAATGTTTATGGAGGATTTTGTGCATTTGACTCATACCGATGCCTAAGCTTGTCCGTATCTGCTGATAAGTCACTCTTTTGTCAGTCTCTATCATACGCCGCACAACACTGATGTTATCTTCAGTCATCGCCGTAGAAGGCCGTCCCTCACGCAGATTGTCGGTGAGATTAGTGCAACCACGTTTAAACTCATTAAACCAATTGTAAACAGTGGCACGAGATGGGGCTTCATCGTGAAAGACCAATTGAAGTCTATCATAACTTTCTCGTTGACTTAAATGACATCGAAAGTCATAAAAAAACATTGTACGAAAATTTTCTCTATCAAACAATAGGAATATCGACCTTTCATTCTTATTGTTCCTAAGGATACCGAAAGGTAAGATATTATTATTTATAGGGAGATCTAGATAATTAGGTACCTATTTACTGACGCCATAGTTACAGATTTATCATTGATTAGTGACCCGACCACAGCTTCGCAGCTTACGATTTTTTCGCGTATAATGCCAATGAACTTAAAAATCTTTCAGTGTAAGTAGACCTCCCAGTACTGGTGACTGCCTACTGGTTATTAGTTTAATACTTGGTCGATAAAAGAAAGAGATTGAAAATAGCAGCACCACATGAGTAAAGAAACCGTACCGTACAGAGGCAAAGCTTCATATAACCGCGCTATTATAATTACAGTACTCTACAAGCTTGAGGCTCGTGTGTGCGTGAGCACTGGCGTCTCGTCACATACAGAGAGAAACTGCTTTAAACCGGCTCGACCAGTGCTCAAATTCAGGATGATGTAAAGAGTAACAAGTGTAAAATTTTATTTTTTAAATATTTATTCGTGTCAAATGAAATATAAAAAAGTGCAAATATTGTTTACTGTAGGTACTGTTTGTATGAACAATAATAAAATAAATAAAAATATATAATTTTTTTAACTATCCCAAAGAATACTAGGTAAGTAGTAACGGTAAGTAGTAACGGTAAGTAGTAACTTGACTATAATTTATTATTTTTAATGTGGAAGATAAATAACTCGCCATTGTTTTTAATTGAATAATTACGTTTATAATTATAAATTAAATACGCAGATTCATGTTTTATTATTATTATTATTCCAGATGGCAAGAGTGGTTAAAAGCTGCCGGGCGAGAAGATGAAAGATCTCCTTTCAAAACTGTTTGATTATAAAAAAGGCAACAACATAGACCCTGTGAGGTCACTTCGACCCCTGTATGTTTTTCCAACACTCAACTTGCTGACAAATGACGGTGCTTGTTTGAGTTACAGCCAATGTGAGAATGTAACTGAAATGAATGTATGAATTGATTGAACAAAAATTTTGCGAATATTTTGATCTCGAAAAAAACATTGTAAATATTGGTAAGGAAATATTAAAACGTGTGCAAGATTGTATATTTCTTATGCCATGCGTGTGCCTTCCATTAGATTAATAAAAAAAAAACTTTCCATTAGATTCATAATTTACCATTTAATTAAAAGGCACAAAAATTGTGAAGAACAAAAATTATAAAATTAAATATTTAGTTTATAAAAAATATTCTTAAGTAGGTATATAATAAAAGCTGATAAACGTTTTGTTTATTTAATTTTACCCTCCTGTGTCAACCCTAGAAAAATGTTTAAAAATTTTGACAGCTCATTACAAGTTTTGCCTCTGTACGGTTTCTTTACTCGTGTGGCAGCATTTCTCATTGCCACTCTTTCATAAATAATGCCGTCGCGTGTCGCATGTTTGTAAATAGCAAAAAAATGTGAAACAGACATGAGACGGCCCCGTGGCGCAGTGGCTTAGTAATGAGTAGCAGCGCTGAGGGCGGCGGGTTCGAATCCCGCACGGAACAATATTTGTAACGCCTACAAATAATTGTTCTGGGTCTGTTCTATGTATGTAAACTGCCCCCGAGATACAGGAGAAAATCCTAGTGGAGGTAACGCTTTTTAAAAGAGAGGAAGAGAGACAAGTAATGAAGTTAAAAATGTTGTACAACTGACTTCAATATTAATACATTAACTCCAAAACTACTAGTACCATATCTTGATAGAATTTATATGGGACATAGTATAAATTATAACCAGCTTTCAAATATAAAAAAACACCAAAATCGGTTCACCTACAAAAAAAATCTGAGATAACATACATAAAAAAAAAACAATCGAATTGGGTAGTAGAATTGAGTATTTTTGAAGTCTGTTAAAAATGGTAAGTAGGTAAATTATCTGAGTTTCAAAGACGTTCACGTTGTTATAATCTCGATGTTGCATATTAACCTTCCTCTCATTGAACAATAATGTTTTTATTATCAGCAAATTACTAATACATTGCATAAACACCTCGGTGTATTCTATTACCAACTAATATTAAAGGATTAAATTTGTTTTCTCACAACACCTAATCCTACAGTAGGAGCGGCCTTAACAAAGGCGCGTAACGGGCTAAGTGATACAGACTCTCGCACGCGGAAAGTCTGTATCACTTACCCCTTTTTTCTAAGGTGCATTTTGATTTTTATAACACCGCTGCAGCGGTGTAATAATTATCCGTATAGTAACATGACAACAGGCAATACTCAATTGCGATTAACAATTTTTATACTATAAAAATTAAGACAACCGTATAGCGTATGAAGTACAGCTCCTTTTTAAAAATCAATTTTTGCTACAGATTCAGACTTCATTCGCCATTGGGACTTCTGGTGGAAGGTGACGACAATAACCCTAGTGTCATGTCTGCCGCTGTACATCGTGAAACATATGCATAGGAAATGGAGAGACCGTCAGTACAAAAACATTCGAAAATGAGATCTAAACTATTTTAGCGTAGGTTCATATTTGAAATTATTACGTTGATCTATCAATATTTTTATAGACTTTGTTTAAACATATGTATATTGTACTGTATGAAGTTTAATATTTGTTGTTAAACAATTTTAGTGTCATAAGATTATCAAATAATGTACATTATGCGTATTTAAAATATCATATTTTTCATACTTCTCTATAAATTTATTGACATAATCTTTCATTAACTTGTATTGAGAGTTACTGGAACACTACATGACTTATTCTGCAGTAGTAGTATTTATATAAGTATTTTGTTTCGTATATTGTGTCACTGATTTTGCCCTTTTTCTTTTTAATTGGTTATTGGTGGCTTAGTTAGAAAAAATAATTATGCAATAATATTTATAATAATATATGTAATAATATTGATATTGTTAAAACTCACGAAACGGAGGAGTTAGTTACAATTAGACACAATATTTTAATGATTTACAAACAGATTTTTTTAATTAACCAATTAGACAAAATATTTTTAAAATAAGATAATTCACTGTTATAAAGACTAGACAGCATGCAATAAGTAGCATACAATTATTATTGAATTCAGTTATTCCATAAGACTGCATATTAATGCACACAATAAACAAAAATGGCAATATAAATAATTAAAAATTTGATAATTTTGTCAACCGACTTCAATATAAATTATTAAGAATAACTCAAAAACTATGGGTCAGACATTAATCAAATTTATATGGGACCACATAAGAAACATCAGCTTTCAAATAATATAAGAATCATCGAAATCGGTTCACCTAGAAAAAAGCTGTGAGGTAACATACATAAAAAACATACAGTCGAATTGATTACCTCCTCCTTTTTGAAGTCGGTAGAAAAAGATAAAATAAATAAATAATATGTAGGATATAACAGAACAATATCCTTGTTATATTGTTTTATTCTACTGTCCCTGGTACAACAATAAAGTGTCAGAGCCATGGGAACAAATAAGAATTTTACAGCACTGCCACTCCTGAAAAATAATATTAAATTTGTGTTTTTGCTCAAATATTGCTTTCTGCCAGGATTCGAGTCCAAGGCCTGGAACATGCTAGCAAGATACTCACACCATTAAACCACGCGGTCTTATAGTTATACTGTATTGATAACATAGATTATAATAGATGTTGTTTTTTTGACACTGTTTTTGTTTAAAATTATATTATTGTATATGTAATTAAATCATGCTTTAAGAAACCTTTATCGTATTGTTACTGTGATGCCAGTTCGTGTAGAGATTGGTATAATATTTTATTATAAGTAAATATTCCTTATTTAAGTTTTCTGTATATTTATGTCTCTCAACTCTAAAGTTGATATATGGAGTGAAAATGTCATATATAAGGTACAAATTTTGTTGTTATTTTTTTGTGATATCTGTATTTATTTGAAAGTGCATCTATATCTATGTTAAACTTGGTTATCGAAAAAGATTGTGTACTGTGGTTAGTATTATGTTTTACAAATATAAGCGGATGTTTTAATCACACCTAATAAAAACCCTAAGAAATTAATTTCTTATTTTTATTTTCAAAATCAATTCTGAAACACTATTTAGCATTTACAATCTAAGAAATGAATGAAAATATATTACGTGCAACAAAATAGTTCAAAATATCGAGTACTGAAATGGTAGTACCGAAAACACGAGCCGAGAAAGCGTGAGGCAAGCAAGTGTTTCGCGTTACGCCTTTCTGACATTTCACCTTTACTTACATGATCTGCTAACTATGCAGTGGCGGTGTAAGAATATCCGCTACCCCATATCATCCCGTGGATCTCGTAAGTCCCGATTATATTAGGTTATCTATGGTCATATATGGCAGTAGACGACAAAGCGGAACTGACAGCGAAATAAACTGCGGTTGCCAATCCGCTTACCAAGCATAGCAACTATCGCAAATATCTCCCCTGTGCAATCTATGGGGGGTGGCCTTTGTTCAGCAGTGGACTTTATATTTTTTTTTATAGAATAAGAGCGAAAAATGAGCACAGTCCACCTGATGGTAAGTGGTTTCTGTAGCCCATAGACGTCTACATCTATCCTCGATTACGAATCAAAATGTAGACGCGTTGTCACCCGTGAGGACTAAGACGGAATGCCTCCTTCCCAGTAAAAAGGATCTCCGGTTCTCTACACTCACCATACGAAACACAGCAGCATTGAGTTGGTATTCTATGAGGGCGTGGTCCTTCCCCGGTCGAGCCGACCCATTCGTGCTACAACCATAAATTTACTGTAGCATAGTTCTACCACGTATAAAATACCCCTAAAACGTCTGCCGAAACTTTTAAATCAACATCATCATCATCATCATCATTACAGCCCTTCACAAGTCCACTGCTGAACATAGGCCTCCCCAAAGGAATACCACAAAGCACGGTCCTGAGCCACCTGCATCCTTAAGCCACTTAAATGTAATTAAGGCATAATGACAAGGTTGTCTGCGATGGCAAAACTTCTAACTCTTTTGACATTAGCGGCAGGGTTGCGTCTTAGCGCTGATTTTGTCTGGCATCTGCTCATTATGCTTAGTCGCGTTTGGCGATTCTTACAAGCAAAAGTACATTCGCACACGAAAGCTGATGGGAAAAGTTTTCATTCACGGCTGTTCAGTTCTTGTAGGGGACGCGAGGATCTCAATCTACACTAATTGCTTTTTGCCGATGACGCTGCCTTAATCGCTTAAACTCCACCAGGCAATAATAATTATAAAAAAATTGAGCTCTTTTCTCTGTGACTATCAATGCTGCGAAGACCGTGGTTTTAGCATACAAGTACAGCCAGAAACCAAACACCCTTTTGGATAGATTATAGATCAGAATTCGTATCGGTAAGGTGACAACGACTTTCGGAAGGCCCAGTACTACAGCTTGGAGGAACAACCATTAAAATTAAGCATGCGTCTTGAGCACATTTTTGTTCAGATCCGATATATGGAAGTCGTATGCCAAACAAGAAAGTAAACTTAATGCTTTCCACGGCGCGCAAAAGGCTCTAACGTGAAGCTGTTTGATATTACGCAGGTTTCCAGCATAACCAGATAAATCCTACAAGGGCGATTACGAGAGCTAGAGTCAGAGACGTGGGCCAAGTCGCATCAGCGAGGCCCCTTTTTTTTCGTTCCCATCATTCATCATCATCATTACAGCCTTTCATAAGTCCACTGCTGAACATAGGCTTCCCCCAAGGAATGCCACAAAGCACGGTCCTGAGCCACCTGCATCCATCGACTTCCTGCATGTCTTACCAGGTCGTCACTCCATCTCGTGGGGGGCCGCCCTACACTTCGCCTACCGGTACGAGGCTGCCACTCAAGAACCTTTCTTCCCCGTCGGTTGTCTGTTCTTCGAGCTATATGGCCGGCCCACTGCCACTTCAGCTTATTAATCCGTTGGGCTATGTCGGTTACTCTGGTTCTACTGCGGATATTCTCATTCCTAAGTTTATCACGCAGAGAAACTCCGAGCATAGCCATCTCCATAGCTCGCTGAGCGACCTTGAGCTTCCTCATACGGCCAGCAGTGAAGGACCACGTCTCAGATCCGTAAGTCATCACTGGCAACACGCACTGGTTGTACAATTTCGTTTTAAGGTTTTGAGGTATGTCTGACGAGAAGATGTGTCGTAGCTTCCCGAACGCTGCCCAGCCGAGTTGAATCCGTCGATTGACCTCTCGGTCAAAGATGGACTTACCTAGTCGGACTATTTGTCCCAGGTAAACATACTCGTCAACAACTTCGAGCTTAGTGCTCCCAACAACTACCGGCATAGGTGTGACTAGGACATTAAACATAATCTTTGTTTTGTCCATGTTCATCTTAAGACCTATCCGTTGGGAGACACTATTGAAGTCATTATGCATAGTGCTTAGGTCCTCCAGCGATTCTGCCATAAGGACTATATCGTCGGCAAATCGTAGGTGAGTGAATGTACTCGCCATTGATGTTAATACCGTATCCTTTCCAGTCCAGAAGCTTGAAAACGTCTTCCAATGCAGCGGTGAAGAGTTTCGGGGTTATAACGTCACCCTGTCTTACACCTCTCTGCAATTGGATAGGTTTCGTACTCTGGTTCTGTACTCGGATAGCCATCGTAGCCCTACTGTACAAGCACTTCAGCACTTCGATATACCGACAGTCAACTTGGCACCGCTGAAGGGACTGCAGCACCGCCCAAATTTCGACGGAATCAAAGGCTTTCTCATAGTCCACATACGCCAGGCATAGTGGCAAATTGTACTCCTCGGACTTCTGTAGAACTTGCCGAAGGGTATGTATGTGGTCTATGGTGCTAAAGCCCTTTCGGAAACTGGCTTGTTCGGGAGGCTGGAAGTCGTCAAGTCTGCATGCGAGACGATTCGTAATGACTCGAAAACAGCAAGTAGACGCGGCTCAGAAGGGAAATCGGTCTGTAGTTCAAGACTACTTTCTACCCAGTAGATCTGTCCTACCAAACATGCTTTGACACGATACACCTACTCATAGGCTAATAGCTATTAACTCCTGACAAGTCTCGTATTCCGTCAATCTAACGGCCGCGGTGTTTGAAGGTTCTTACAACTTACGGCTTATTATTTTATAGGATAGGGTGACAAGCGAGCACACAACCCACCCGATGATAAGTGGTGGCTGTGACCCATAGACATCTACATTTATCCTCGATTACGAATCAAAATGCAGATGCGTTGTCACCCGTGAGGACTAAGATGGAATGCCTCGTTTCCAGTAAAAAGGGTCTCCGGTTCTCTCACACTCACCATACGAAACACAGCAGCATTGAGCTGGTATTCTGTGAGTGCTTGGCCCTTCCCCGGTCGCGCCGACCCATTCGTGTTACAACGATACCAGAAATATAGCTGCAGCATGGCTCTACCACGTAACAAGGGGCTTCCTGCGAGGCCCCAAACAAACACGCTTTTAAATTTGTGACGTTCATTTTCGAGCGTAAAAGTGATCAAATCGATTAGTCATCTGTGGTAAAGTCTGGGGACAGAGGACTCGCGAGGCCCCTTTGAGGCGTGGGCGAGGGCCCACTTCGCCCACGCCTAGCTACGCCACTGACTATAGAGCATGTGTATCGCACGAATGTTGATCCTTTGCCCTAGCGTGCTTACCTGCGTTTTAAGCACTGTGTGAAGCGGGTTATGATCGTGTATATTATACGTACATTACAAAAAATGGGATAACGTTGTAAGGAAGCGTGATCAATAGAAAACATGTTGCGGGATGGTTGCTCCGATCATGATAATACATGGTTTCAGGCCTTGGCTAATAAACGCGAGAAAAAAATGGACACCCTGATATATAGACAGCCTGAGAGAACACCAATGTCGAAAATGCTGTCGATATTACTGCTCTCGTATCGGACTCAATAGCCACAAATGTTTTTGCCTCCGACAAAATGCTGCTTATAAATCCATTGTTACAGATTTAAAAGGCTGTATACCACATATCTGTCAATAGCCTGTGTGTTATTCCAGATCATATTCTTCCTCTCTAGCAAATTTTGTCAGTCGTTCAGACGTGTCAGCGTAAAACAGTAACAAGTAAACAAACTTTCACATCTTCTATATAAATAAAATGATAGAGGTTTGCAGTTTTAAACGTTACCCCCACACTAGGATTTTCTCCTGTAACGTGGATGCAGTTTACAAACACAAATTGCACAAGGACACACATCCAGACCCGGAACAATTATTTGTAGGCCATACAAATACTTGTTCCGTGCGGGATTCGAACCCGCGGCCCCCAGCGCAGCAACTCATTGCTAAGCCACTGCACCACGGAGCCGTCAACTCAAGTTGGGCGCGCATCACGGAAAAACTACTGGATAGATTTCAATTAGGTTTTCTAAGTTTTATTTCTTAGACATTTGGCCCTTATCAAAAAAATATATTGCAATATCTTCATTTAATATAAAGTTATTAAAGTTTTAAGAAACAACGATTTTTATAAGCGAACACTTTGTTAATATATCAAGCAGCACGTACGAAGTCGCGGGTATCAGCTAGTTTATAATATTAATCCATTATAGCCTATAAAAGTCCACTGCTGAACATAGGCGTTTACCAAAGATTTCCTCTTAGGGAGGATTCTGCAATAGTTACCACGTTTGGCATGCGGGTTGGCAACGGTAGTATTTTTTTTTAAATTGTGAGTGTTTTGTCAGGAACATACTGCTGCCCATCTCTGATTTCAGTCGCCACTTCCGACACCCACGGACGATATGGGGTAGTGGATACTGACACCGTAACCATAATATTGTAGGATGTAAAAATGTATCTTATTTACAGTCTCTATTAGAGGTTTAAACACGAAGAGATCGCACATTTGGCGCGCTACAATGATATACTGCACCACCATAAAAATTGGATAGGACCTAACACTGTTGAATTTTGAGTTTCACATATCGAACCCATTACAACATCTTCCAAAAAGGAAGTAAAAAAAACTGATATAGGTAGGTATTCATTTCTTTTGCTCCGTTAAAACGTTACGTAAAACACCGAAATTGAAAGCTATATTATATTATACCTTAAAAAATTAAATACATCTTAAATAACATGTCTTAAATAGTAATATTTGTAAATCCTAATCTCAAAATCTACAATCAAACAATAAACATATCTAACATTTTAACAACTTTAAACTAGTGTGGGGATGGCGGTGTTGCAAAAGAGTTACCATCAAATTCGGTTTTTGACTTTGACTTGGCTTGAGAAGCCTTAGAAGCAACACGTCTTGCCCATGCTAAATCACGCGAACTTCTCACTTTTCGGCATCGAGATTTTGAACTGTCTGAAGAAATTGATTGCTCCGAAGTCGAAGTAACCGACCAACCCGAACCCGTATCTTGTTCTTCATGACAATAAGTCATTTCCGAATGAGTGACTGTACTCGCTGAATACATTTGCAAACGATTCGCGTTTGGCGTTTTATCTATTTTTACTTGGGATATAGACGTTTCAATTTTCGGTGGACTTTTTGCTCTCACAGTTTCGCCAACGTCTAATATAATATTGCCCAGGATTTCTTCACTCTCTTCTCGTTTTGAAGGCGACAGAGATTCGACGTCACTAGTCTCTTCGTTATCGCTCATTATAACTGCCATCATCTTTTCTGTGTTCTCATGGAAATCATATACCCTTTGTGTCTTTGTAGAACCAAGAGAAGAAGTTTTGGTCCTGGATGGAGTACACTTGAGACGTTTGTGATCGCTGTAATATACAGAGCTCTGATGTAAATGTGCGAGGGGAATAACCGACTCCACCTTTCTATAATCGTTTTCCTTAGAATTCGTAATGTTACTATTGCGGCCTGTACAATGACACGCATTAGTTTTTCCGATTATATAAGTATAACAAGTTTGTAGAAGACAAATAAAAATAGCGGCTAATAAAACCAAAACCACGTACAATTTCGGACTCCACTCTGGATCCATGTATATATACGTGTCCGTAAGAGTTTTCCAAGGATGCCATTTTAAAACCCCTTGATCTTCGTTTTCAAAGAGGTTACGCCGAGAAAGACCTTTACCATAGCTTTGAACTGCAGCGGCAACACGTAAAATACCTCCATATGCTGAGTAAAGTTTTTCATCCATAAGATGTGGAGCTACGTCTCTTTTCATCCAATGCCATAATTCATTATTGAAGTTCAAAAAATCGATGTGCCTGCATGGTTCTGGTGATTTACGCAAGATACATCTTGTCGCAGTCGTGTAATATCTTAGTAAAATATTTTCTGAGCCGGGTGACGTCAAGCTAACGAATCCTCCAAATTTAAAAGGCAAAGCGATTGCTGATGGTTCGAATTCATCGTCTAGTTTTGGCTTCGGCAAATGTATACAAGAGTTTGTGTCTCTCTTTGTAACCAAACACGAACACGGGTTCACTAGTTTACCGTATCCTGCGAAAACCTTGACTACAGTTAAGTTACTCCATCGAGGAACACGATCAGGCCGAGCCCATCCTAAGCCTTGAGTATTTAAAAGTAACTTTATGTGTTCTAAAAAGTCATGCAATTCTCTAACAGATCTATAAGGAACGTAACCAGCGTAATATGAAAATCTCGCAGTTGGTAAAATTTCCTTTGTTAAGTGGGCGCCCATGGTATCAGCGAGTGCTGTTTTCAAAAGGCTAGCAGCATGAGGATCTGCGTCCTTTACAACGTTACGCAAAGCATAACGAAAATAACTCAGCATTTCTCTTATATACCTACTGTTTATTTTTTCAGGATATACACTAGATGGCATCAACTGTTCGAAAATTTTCCTAGCGCGAAGTTTTGCCAATTCATCGTCACTCCAACATTCATTGTTGCCTTGCTTGTTATAGAAAATTGCTGATCCCACGTGTGTCTTAGAAGCATTTGCTAACTCTGTCAATATAAATAAAATCATAATAAAAATCATTGAGAAAAACGTGGAAAATATTGTTCATAGTAAAATTCTAATGTCAGTCATTAAATGTCAAGAAAATTATAGATAAAAACAAAGCTTTAAGGTAAAGTATCAAAGGGTATAAACATATTCATATATTTTCATATATTTTTTTTAATGAAATTATCATTTCATTTAGCTGTACTTACATGATGGAGCGTGAATAAAGTTAATAAAACGTTGTGAAAAGATGATATTTTTTCCTCGGGATCAAATTTCTTTGTGACTCAACGTCAAGGGTATCCCTAGTACTATCGTCTGTTTTCGTTTTCGGGAGCGTTTCAAAAACACCCGATAGATCAATATTAGGCAAATTATCACTTTGTCCTTTGACGGAGCCTTCTTCCGTTATAGTGAAATAAAAACTCATAGATACAAAAGAAATAAACGACTGTACGTAAATAAACACGAACGAAGAAAGAGCCTTGACGCGACTCTGAAACTATTATTTGAATGATTCGTGGTGCGTATGGATCTACACTCCATGGTGGTACGGCGATCTAGGATAGGTCAAATGACGTCACAGGCAAATTAGAAACTACAGACGTTCCATACAAAAATACGTAAACTTCAATAATCTATTTCAAGTCATTTATTGATGGATTTCAAAAACATTTTCAGTGATTGATTAGTTTTCATCTATATTTAATACCATTACGTTGAATATAATATTAACGACATCATGAAACTTCTCCATTTGTTCAATAAAAATGTGATTTTATTTATATTATTTTTTCAGGTGCAGGCGGTGGATGAAGTAGCTGCTTTCATGATTCACATGTTAAAACTTATTTGTGGCAAACATTGCAAATTAAAACATTCCAAAAGCAATTTAATCCAATCAGTGTTAAAAACCTAATATTTACCCCTTCTAATAAAACTTAACGTTGAAAACAGGCATCCAGACGCAGACTATTTATTTTACAGCATAGAAACACTTGTTCAGTGTGGAAACGAACCCTCAGTCTTGCAGTGCCGCAGCTAAACGCTTAGCCACTGCGCTACGGAGTCGTCATTTACTTTTACTTCATTATTTACTAGTATAATAGTGCGTTTTTTTTATATTTTCTTTATACATATTTTTGTACCTAATAATTGTTGAGATATAATTATTGTGTGTAAAATACATTAATTTCTAATCCTCATCGGCATTTTTTACAGGGGTAGAGCCACGCAGCAGCTTTTGCTGTCGCACGGATGGGACGGCTCGAACCGGGGTGGTACCACGACCTCACAGAAAACCAGCGTGAAGTAGAGGTTTACCTCTGCGTTTCGCTTGGTGAGTACAGGTGGCCGGTGGCCCTTTTTACTGGAAATGAGGCATTCCACCTTAGTCTTCACGGGTGACAACGCATCTGTATTTTGATTCGTAATCGAAGATAAATGTAGTTGTCTATGGGCCGCAGCAACCACTTACCATCAGGTGGACGGTGTGCTCGCTTGTCACCCTTATCCTATAAAAAAAAAAAATTTCTACTCATCCCCACGTTAAAACATTTATTTCTTATAAATAACGAGGAGTGGAATGTCCAAGCAATTAAAAATATTTTGTGGGCATTTGACAGTTATACTGGTATGCTTTGCAGTTCCTTCCACCAAAAACTGTTGAAACATTATCTTTAAATAAAAAGCACAATCTTTTTATTTAAAGACTAGCTGTTCCTCGCAACTTCGCCCGCGTGTTATTTGAGGTTTTAATTTTTTTGCGCAGAACCCTAATTCTTTTTCTAAAATAAAAGTAGCCTAAGTTACTCCTTGTGACATCAGCTATCTGACAGTCCCATTAAAATCGGTCCAGCCGTTTCGGAAATTAGCCGGAACAAACAGACAAACAGACAGACAAAAACTTTAAAAATTGTATTTTTGTAATTAGTACCGTATATACCAGGTATGGGCAACCTTTGACATGTTGAGGGCCAAACATCAGCATGCAAATACGTTCGCGGGGCGCGTTTAAAAGTACTTAGTGCAGTGCAGTAGTGATAATATTTTTTGCGATAGATATTAGACATGAAATAATACGACAATGTTATTATAGTACAATTTATTAAAATAACGAAATGAAATTTAATAAAATGGTACATTATAATTAAATCGTTAAATTTGCAATTGTTACAAACAACGAAAGTTAAATACACCGAAATCAATGTCTTATTTACTTTTTTTTTTTTTTACTTGAGCTTGAATTTGGGAAATAAATCCATCGATATTTGGATTAATTCCACTGATACAAAGACGTAAAGAATTTTCCAAATTATCGTCAGTCAGTCTTGTACGATGTGTTGATTTATTAACTTTCATCAATGAAAAGAACTGTTCGCATTTATAAGTACTGCCAAACGCACAAATCAATCTTCTTGCGAATTTTCTAAGCTGCGGAAAATTGTCTTCTTCTAGGTATTTTTTGTAGAAATTGCACATCTCTACGTCTTCAAATTTGCATTTTAGGAGTGAGTTGTCTTGAATCTCGATCAAGTCCATTTGTAAGTGTATTGGAGCATTTTGTACATTATATTGTGTAGGAGTAGCAAATAAACTGAAACAGTCTTCCATGTTTTTGAAGTCGCTAAATCTGTTCGAAAATTGTTCCGACAGCAACTTCAGTCTTCAGCATATTGAGCATAAGCAATATTTTCATACGCAGAGAGCGTGTTGAAATGGTAACTCTTATCAGACAGCATCTGTGACTCCCACAAACGTAGTTTGATCTGAAACGTTTTCAAATGGCTGTACAAATCAATTACTAACTGTCCCTGTTTTTGAAGTTTCAAATTTAAATCATTCAAATAGCCTGTAAGATCGACCAGAAATGCCAAGTCCATATCCATTTTGGGTCACTAAATTCAGATAGTGGTTTATCTTTTATTTTCATAAAGTCTGCTATCTCTTTTCTAAGCTCGTAAAACCGTTTCAACATTTTTCTTTTGCTCAGCCATCTGACTTCACAATAATATGTTACGTCGTTATATTCAGCTGATATTTCATCCAAAAACGCCTTGAACTGACGATGGTTAAGCCCAGGGGTATGAAAGTCCTTAGTAGCTTGCTTTTACGTTGATACTAGCGCCATCTCATAGTCAGCCAAAGTACTATTTTCCCCAATATTTTTACACATTTTATTATAAGATGGCGCCACTGCTGATATTCATTATTTATACTGAAGCCTAAATCATGCTATCGAAGTTTTAAAATACAGCTGTATATATATACAGAATAATTCTATAAAGTTAAACGAATAAATTTAAACCATGCTCGTCTAAAATAAATTAAATAAAGAGTTATTTAAAACAAAATAGTTAGTAATTATATACAGTTCCTTTTAATTTTTATTGAAATATGTACGAAATAATACTGAACCTAGTTGATAGCGCCCTCTAGTGTAATTTTCAGTAATTTATAATCGCAACGCCATCTATAAGGGCGCTCAAGAAACTTCCCTCTTTTCGACACCTAATAATTTGTCAGAGTGGCTCATCTATACCCTATATAGTATATTATCTATGGTTAAGCCCTCGGGATCGAATAAAGTTGATGGTTTTTACTACCACATCTTTACATATAATAAAACTGTAAATAGCAGACGTCTGTACATTTTATATTTTTGTAATAAAAGTGATTGAGGGATACTAAAAATAAGTAATTAAATACATTTCTACCATTTTTAGAATTTTCTGTCTGTCTGTCTGTCTGTCTGTTTGTTTGTTAACGTATCACGTATAAAGTACTAATTTATATCATAAGAATTGTTAAGGAAATTATAAAGTGTATCTTCGGGTTACATTTAGTCTTTATTTCATTAAAATCAGTTCATTCCATCAAAAGTTATGATAAATATTCTGAAGTATGGGTAGGGACGTATAGGTACGAATTTGCTCAACGGTGGCTTTGTTTGAGTCATCAGGTGCATTTTAAACTAATATCATATCATAAATCATAGTTAAATTATGTAAAATAATGATATAATTATGTATATCTAAAACGCAGTAAACAAAAGTATTAAAAAACGTATTAAATATATTATACAAAAATATATTAACCTTATTAACTAAATCTGAAGCACAATAGTTTTCCCATTTCTTCGATAGATGGTGGTGTTGTGAAAATGTAATGCAATTGCAATGTTTTTTTTCCTGTAGATGAGTTGTCATATTTACTGCTAATCTTTATTATATTACTCGCTGCCCTACTGCGTGTTGACAAACTCAATTTATTCTTTACCGCCGAGTACTCTATGTGGTAAATCAAATTTTAAAAGAGCTATTAACAAATCGTTGGTTTTGGCGAGAGTCAAACTTTATTTTTTGCTTACTGTGCAGGCACTGATTTATAAGTACTCTTGCGTTTTATATAATGTATCAATCGCGTCAATTAATCTCTTTTATTTTTAGAATTGATGTTAGCAGCGCCATCTCTCTTTAAATATATACATATAATAAAAATGATGATAACATATTGTGTCTCTTTCTGTACATTGTATAGGTATATATTTTGGTGGCTAAAATCATTATGGGGAACTGAAAATAATTAAATAAGAACATTTTATAATTTTTAGAATTGTCTGTATGTATATTTGTCTGTTATTATATGAACGCATCACGTCTAAAGTAAACATCTTTTATTTTCAAAGAAATCGTTAAGAAAATCATAAAGCGTATCTTCGAGTTACATTTAATCTTTCTTTTATTAAAATTGGTTAATTCTATCGAAAGTAATGATTATTATTTTGAAATGTAGGTTCGAATTTGTTCAATGGCGCCATAAAATCTCAGAAATAGTAATAAAAAGATTTGTGTGTAAAAAAAACGTTCCATAATAATTAATATATTTATACTTAAAACACAAAAAGAGATTTAAAAAGGATGTTTTCTCACACAAAGGACGTAATAGATGGAGTTGTACAAATTACAAACTTTTCTGAATTGCTGTGTTGAGATTTTTCGCCGATGAATCGTATTGAGACTTACTGAAGAAATTTGTATCCATCGAAGCCATACAACGGAATCCGACCAAAACTAAAAATTTTGCAACGAAATGTCGTGATATTGTATTTATAATATACGCAAAATCAGTACTGCCACTTTAGCGCTTTGGGAACTAGATTTAGCGCTTTTTTGGAATGTATAGCGCGCATTTCGAAATTTTAGCACCTAGCTTAATCCAGCGCTTTTTGGTGTATTTAGCACACATTTCAATATTTTAGCGACTAGCGGGTTATTAACTCTTTTATAGCAGCACTGTTAGTCCACATTACCGATAATAATAATAATGACCTTTATTATTTTTTCCCACAAATAGTACATTGCAGTTTATCTTTTTCAAACATATTTTTTCCACAAAACAAAGAGCATGGGAGACGAGTCCAAACTAGGATACCCTGTGCTATGGATCTCCTGGCTTCCCCTTTAGGATGATCAACTTGATTTTTTTACCGACGACTATAAGCGGGGAAACCCCTTTATTAAAGTTTTTGTTCATGGTTTTTGGCAACGCATTTATTTTGCTTTATTCAGTTTCAGTCAGTTGCTTAGAGCACAGCTAAGTTAAAAGTTACTTAGAAGTTATAACACAAAGAAACTGTGTAGCAACCGCAATCAGATGCTGACATCTGAAACTAAGTTGCGAAATACATTGCACTTTAAAACAATTAATGACATTTTTATTGTTCGTACAGTACTAACTACTGTTGACAGCAATCGCCATAATTATTAGTCGATGTCCTGCGAAGTATTGATACATCAAAAAAATATTGCCAGAAAAAAAACTTAATGTTGTTTTCTTTATTATGATTATATAAAAAAACACAAACTTTGTTTGTAGTTAATTTAGCGCGAAATCTAGGGCTTTTTTAAAGCGCTGTTTTCATGAAATCTAGCGCTTCTTGTGTTGTCCTAGAGCTGAATTAGTTTTTTTTATCTGGCAGCACTGCCCAAAAACCCTCTATTAAGAAGTAACTTTCCTTTCAGTTTTAAGCGCGTTCAGTTCCCAGTTACAGTGAGCGTGTGTTATGCGATGACCGTAAATAAAGCGCAAGGTCAAACTTTACGCGTACCTCAGTTTTTTTTTTTTTTATATAAGATAAGGGTGACAAACGAGCACACAGTCCACCTGATGGTAAGTGGCTGCTGCGGCCCATAGACATCTACATCTATCCTCTGTTACAAATCAAAATGTAGATGCGTTGTCACCCGTGAGGACTAAGATGGAATCCCTCATTTCCAGTAAAAAGGGCCTCCGGCCACCTGCACTCACCAAGCGAAACGCAGAGGTAAACCTCTACTTCACGCTGGTTTTGGCTGGTTTGGCTGGCACAGCAAAAGCTGCCGCGTGGCTCTACCACGTAAGTATTGACTGTTTTGCACATGGCCAACTCTATGTTGCTTTTTCCCGCGTTAGTAGCCCCCGTAACCTTTTAGTGTACACCCCGGCTAAGCCTACTTCTCACGTCGTTTACACAGAAGCTCTATCATAAACGACTTAGAACTTTGATGATAATGATTTATTTAGTTACCACTTATTGATACAGTAATGAAATAAATCGTTTAATATTCTCTTACCTAAACGACAAATTGTTTATGTAAAACCTGTATACGCGAGCTACGCCGCGGGCACAGCTAGTTCATAAATAACATTGTGGAGTCGAATGGACTTAGAACACAAGTTCTGTTGGTGGATAATGCAATGAAGGACTATCAAATTATCTTTTTGTATATTTAATTCTGTTGCTTTTTCATTCAAAATTCCGATGAAACCTTTACGTAAGCCAACCATAGAAGGTGCACCATCAGTGCATACTCCAATTAATTTTGACCATGTAAAGCTAAAACTTGTGAATACCTTTTGAACTTCAATAAAAATATCCTCTCCTGTAGTGATTCCTTTTAGCGGCTGTAAAGCAAGCAATTCCTCAGTAACAGTGAACTCCTTAAATCCTCCTAATAAATATAGCCAGTTGAGCTGTGTCAGACAAATCGGTGCTCTCGTCTAATGCTATGGAAAATGATTCAAAACCAGCCATACGGTCAGTCAATGTTGTTTTTATATCATTAGCCATCATTTCTATACGACGAACAACAGTTCGTCTTGAAAAACTAATTTTTTCAAATTCATTTTTCTTTTCAGGAGACAAAATACCGCAAACTTCTAATATACACTCCTTGATAGATTATCCTTCGGCAAATGGTTTTAATGCCTTTGCCAATTTTGAGCTAAGTATAAAACTAGCTTTCACAACATTATGAAGTTGTGTTCATTGTTTATGAAACATTTGTTGCTGTTTTTCCAAATTTGCGGTAAGCTTCTGGATTTTTTCTGTTCTTAATTGTCCTGTTAATGAGTGCAGCGTAGCATGCTTAGTTGAGTAATGCCTCTTTATATTGAATTCTTTCATTACTGAAATGGATTCATTACACAGCAAACAAATAGGCTTACCATTATGCAAGATAAAAAAGAATTCTTCAGTCCATTTTTCTTGAAACTGGCGACCCCCTGTATCTACTTTTCTTTTCTTTCCACTAGACATCATTTTTGTTTACTTTTCGTTGAATAAACTTAATAACAAACTATAGTTAGTTAGGTACCACTCAAGATGCACACAAAGTTACAAAGCAGGTTGACGGCTCGAGCAGTTCGCTAGGATATCGCTTGTCCAAGTTATCACCTCGGTAGCTCAAATAGAACTGAACTAACGTCCGGGCCATCCACCCGCTTATATAGGCAAAATTAAGGAATAATCTGGAATAAGCTAGTTTAGTATAATTGAGAAGCAATAAATCTTTTGATGTGTCGCTCGTGAGGCGGCAAACCTCAAAGAATTTGATCGAGCAAGCCGAGTGGCGGCGATTATCAAAGTATGAGGCGGTAAACATCAACGGATTTGATGTTTGCCGCCTCACTGTCACTCCCGTGAGTATAATAAGTACCTAATGTAATATTTTTTTTATTGGGTTTCTCAAAATGTGTCGCAGGCCAGATCATATCTTACAACAGGCCGGATCCGGCCCGCGGGCTGGTTGGCCCATATATGGTATATACAGTTAGTAAAAAGCTGTAATATTGACGTTACAAACAGACACTTCAAGTTTGTTTATTTGTGTAGATTCAGTATAGAGATCTAACTTTTATTATGTAAAATATCGATAAACAATATATCCTTAAACGTTATATTTATAAAATTATTAGCGGATAGAGACTTTCAGCACTATTATAATTCGCCTATGTTGCAGCACTGTTTGTCAAAAATTAAATGTCATGTCTTGATGTTGATAGAATAGCTTGGCGCCCTTTCATACATTTACTTTTTATTAGGATGTTGCGCCTCTTAAGCGTAGTGATCTTAGATTACATAAAATGTCCAGATTCCGTGTTCAATACAAAACGCAACATTTATCGTGAAGCCAATTTTTATACGTGTGTGAGTGAACGCCACGCGCTCGAGTATATTACGCATCGCATTTTCGTTTGTGTACAATACGCGTGTAATACCAGCGGTACAGAATTACCCCAAAAATATGAGAGTTTTTAAGTTTTTAAATATTTTAAGTTTAGTGTAAAGGATAATTTTCACTATCACTGTTGCTAATTTTTAACGTTATTTGCTTTCATTAGTGTAATTTTTCATGTGCAACCGCTGTGTGGTGTGCTTGTGTAAGTTTATGAAATGTTTGTACATTTTACAAACATTTCATAAACCTACACAATGTTCTTCGGTTTACTTAATTGGGTAGTAGCAGGAGCAGCCCAATCGATAGCTGTAACGGCTCAAAATCCGATGTCGGTACGCCATTTTCATATCAACGCTGATTTTTTCAAGGATTAGTTTTTAAGGATGCGTACAGATTAAGTAACATGTTGTGTAACTTGTGTCTTATAACACGTCTACATTATGTTACATTGTTTTTCAACATTGTAACATATAATAATACTGTACACATTAGAAAAACAATATAATATAACAATGTTATATGACATTGTCTTTTCTCGTTCCGCAGTGTTATTCACAATGTAAAAGCTGGTAGTTGAAGCAAAAGCCAAAGATGTGACGGACTGTCATGAATATCATCAATAAACTTCAAGACGACGCAGGTGAAACAAACAGTTCAACCATTTTCGCGGTTCTATTTGAGGAATTTGTTAAAAAAGAAACACCTAGTAAACAATTTGAAATTGAGGTGTTTGTCGTCATCATTGGTGCTTTAGATAAACGCATAAAAGCATACCAAAATGTAACTAGTGTTTTTGGAATATTTATACAGTTAAAATCTATTGCATTAAAGTTGGCGAAAAAATTACTTCGCGTACATCCGCTCTATAAAATAAAATTATGTGTCTTACCCAGTTTGAAGAGTACCTCCCGCCCTCCCTTAATTGCGTGCACTATCCCCGTCACCACTAATCCCAGCACCACTACTCCCAACAACACTACACTAGGAAAGACACACCACTGATGACAATACGACACGTGTTTCGCCTCTATACAAGGCATCTTCAGGTAACGTAGACTCTGCGGTGGCTGACTGCTAAGTGAGCGGCGAGTTATCTCTATAAAACTGTACTGACGGTCACTAATCAGATGATGCTCTTCAAAGTACCGCATGAGATGAGATTCCATTATTTCGGAGAACAAGAAGGTGTAAGCGATAGGCCCGTAATTGGACGGGTGCGAGCGGTCACCTTTTTTAAAGATCGGGTGCACTAAGGCTGTCTTCCATGCCTGAAACGACACCTAAAAAGTAAGAGAACCGTAAAAGACACCAAATCCGGGTGTGTGATCGGGAGCACACGTCTTCAACACAATTGGGCGGATTCCATCAGGCCCACTCGAGTTGCTAAAGTCCAGGGACAAGAGTGATTTGCAAAGCGACGGCTGTATAAATAGAACATCCAGCATGGAGCGCTCATGCCGTGGGATGGTCGGTGGTATGTTCCCCCTGCAGTCGAAAGTCGAGTTGGACGCAAAAAGAGAACCTAAAAGATCGGCTTTCTCCTTCTCGGCGTGAGCCAGTGAGTCATCCTCCCTTCGCAAATATAGTAATGATGGCTTACAGGAATTTCCTTGGGCAGCCTTAGCGAGGGATCAGAACGCACGAGTTCTCAAAGGAAGGCGAACTAGTTTCACGCCAATTCACCCTACTGTTTGCATCCCGGGATGCCGATGCGTAAGCCCAGGCCTTGTAACACTCCTGCTTTTTTGCAGCGACGCAATTTTGCAGGAGCGTCCAAAATAACGCTGAGATCGCCGCCAATAGGCACTACAGATGACGGGATGAAAACTTCCATCCCCTGAAGCACCACATCGGCGACAGACTCAGCAACGATTTTTTGGGATCGTCCAGCGTGAAGCAAATTCGCCACCGGCATCCAATCCTGATTCGCTGACCTACAGTGCCACACACGGCGTCAGCCTCCCGATCGTGACTGCAATGAGCAAGTGATGGGCACTGTACTCTGGATCAGGCAGTTAACGGAAGAGCTAAGAGGGGCATCGATGATGGCTATCCGGACGAGAGATCACCAGAAAGTTCAGCAGGGAAGGTGTAAGATCCTCCACATTTGGAATCCGCGTAGGCGAAGTGATCACTTGTCTTAGACCATATCCCAAGGCAAAGTCATAAATAGATCTTCCCGCATGATCGGCAGTACGACAACCGAGCCATTCCGTGTGGTGGGCGTTGAAGCTTGTGCGTTTACCGTATGCAATTGTTTTATTTTTGCCAACAAAATAATCGGTTACTGACTGTGTGACGTGGATTGTCTTAGTCGAAAAAGGTGCATTGTTTCTCTTTTTTGTGACATCAAGTAAGTGCAATATATTACGTCTTAATAAATTTCACTCAAAAAAATACACTTAGACGGTAAATGATGGGGGCGGGGCCCACAGCAATTGCTACTATTGCTACGTGATTAATTCAGCACTGGACATTCTGCCAGCGAATAATGACGACGACTTTCTGATTGCGATTCCATTGTTGCTGTGTCATTGTTACTGGGTGCATCCCCTTATCACCCTAAGATTGCAATATAATCAATATTATGTAACAAGATCTATCTATCTAGAGATATTTTTTTTAAATATGGATGTCTGTAAACCCGTTCGATGGTGGACCAAAACAAATGAAGCCACCACCATAAAGAAGCTTCAGCGTTACCAGAGACTGGCATGTATGGCTGCCAGAGGCTGCATAAGAACTACGCCAACAGCAGCCTTAGAGGCGATGCTGTGGCTAACCCCGCTTCATCTACATACAACAAGAAGCGACGTTAGCTGCCATAGACTCAAAACCCTAAATCTGTGGAGTAAGAATAGAGTCCTTCATAAGGCATAATTGATAGAATTCACTCAAAATTCTTATCTTACAAGCTAAATATGACAAGATCCATAAACAATTTGTTTTCGATAAGAAGTAAGATAAAAGTAAAATGAAACCAGCCAGCCGGAGGGATTAAGCCCAAAAGAGCTTAGAGTCTTCACATATGGTTCTAAAACAAATGAAGGTGTAGGATCTGGAAGTTTTTCTGAAGACCTCAACATCCACTTAAGCACACCGCTGGGTACCTACAACACAGTCTTTCAGGCGGAATGTATGGGTATCATTCAAGCGGCCATAGCAATAGATGATAGATACGTTAATGACTTCTCCATCAGAATACTGACCAACATTAGGGCGGTACTACAAGCCCTGAGCTGCAATGTGGTGAGTTCAGGACTAATATATGAATGCCACCAACGATTAAATGAGGTATATAAACACAACAATGTGACTCTGCAATTAATAAAGGGACACGGCAACGATGGCAATGATGCATTAGACGAACTGGCCAGAAATGGACCGGCTCTGGCCATTATAGGGCCGGAATCAATCATACCAATCCCCTTTGGTAATGTTCGTTCACTGGTACGTAGACACTACACTAATCAACACGCTCAACTTTGGAAAAATCTAGTAGACTGTAGACAAGCTATGGAGGCCCTGCCTGAAATAAACAGTCGTTTAATCAAGGTTTTAATGAGACTGAACAAGCCGCAGATCAGGATAGTAACAAGTGTTATCACAGGACATGGTAACTTTAACAAACATTTATTTACCATAGGTGTTACGGATAGTCACCTGTGCAAGACATGTATGGGGGAGGAAGAAACGGTGACCTACGTGTTGCTGATGTGTCCGGAAGTCGCTTTATACAGGGCTAAACATCTCGGCACGCCGGGATCACTCCCCGAAGTTGCTTGCAACATCAAAGGATTGTTGATCTTTTTCAGATTGACATTTCATAGCCCGAATAAATACATTATTCTTGCCCACACGCAAAATACGCGCTTAGACGTGGAGTTGCGGAAAACAGACTGTTTATTCAATTCAATTCGATTCAAACCCATTCGACGAATTATTAAACAAAATAAGATGAAAAGCTATACACATATAAGGGTGCGTACAGAATAAGTAACGTAACTTGTGTCTTAAAACACATCTACATTATGTTACATTGTTTTTCAACATTGTAACATATAACAATACTATACAC